AAAGCATGGCATTAACAGGCTAGTGAACATTTGAAAAAAATCTTGTTTGATGTAAAAAAAAAGACATTTACAAATGAGATTTTCAACCATAAAAACACCTTTATGATTTTCTGCAGTCTTTTGAAGGTGTTTTCAAACTATAGAATTACAGCATATTAGCTCAAACCAAGTTGGAGCGTTTAGTTCCTTCACTGGTGCAGCAAGGACTTCCTTTCATTTTAAATCAAATGGAACATCCTTGAATTTTACACCCTCAATCTGATCCTCTTAGACAGTCTAAGGACTCTCCAGACTTGAAATCAACAGCTTTACATAAAGCATGCTAAGAGTGAGGAAGCTCCGAGACAGAAGTACTGCAATCACTGAAACAACTGTTCTGAAGCAGTCAGGTGGGAAAATCCCCTGAAATAACGGCCAGTGAGGGCTGCAGATGATGGTAACACTATCTGAAGGTGCTTTCACACCTGCTTGTTTGGTGTGGTGGAATCGCCCCCCTGAGTGTTTCCGTCCTGGTTTATCGCATTGTGGTGGTGAGAAAACCCTAAAGCAAACAGCTGAACCCTGGTCAGTCTCAGTTAGATAGTCGTAGGCTGCTTTTATGTGAATCGTGGGAGTTGCAGAGGGATGCAGTGATCAGATGTTTGGGGCTGATTCAGATAATAATAAAGTAACATGCATTATCAGTGAAATATCACAGGTAACTTAATATTGATCTGCAGAGTTTTTAGTGTCACTGTTGGCTGCAACTTCAATCAAAATTGTGTGTTCCTTTTCACAAAATACGCCCGAACTAACAAGGTATTCAATCAAAGTGAGTCTTCGTCATTTTGACATTGCGGTTCAGTTTGTTTTCTTGTGAAATGCTGCAGTTAAGCATCATTTTCAGTAATGATTTCAGAATCTGTAAGCAGGGAGGTGACCTCAATTACTGTAAACAGGAATAAAATGGGTTTTTTTTCTTGGTCTGGAAGGCGTAGTATAAAATTTTAAAAATCTATTACCAACTGTATGTGTTTCAGTTGATTACCTAACTGGTGTCTATTTTTAGCCAGTAATCAGTGATTTAGAGGGAAAAAAGGAAAGAAATTAAAAGAGCCACAGAAAAGAGGAGTAAAAGTGGAGTGAAGAAAACTGGGACAGCAGGCTGGATTGTATGGGAAACCAATAAAGCTGTTGGCACGTTATACATCTAAAATGCATCGCCCATTGTCTTGAGGTGCCCTCTACCAGGGGAAGGCAGTGAAGGACGCCTCAGAATAAATAAAGAGGAGGTGATCAGTGGCTTTGAATGTCAATAGCAGATATTGAGAGACTGTCTTTGTTTGCTTCCTGACTTTTTTGTAACTGCACTATGTAGACTGATATATGGGGCCAATATTGATCTTTCTGCGAAAAACAGCAATCATGACGTCTATATTTGATGTAGCCCCATTTAAAATCCGATCTGTGGCATTGCAGTGTGAGAATACAGAGGACATTGATTGCAAAATCAGAAGTATGAATGAACAGTTTATGTCCAGTATATTATCTGGGAATTTAGTCTCAGACTTCAAGTGTTCTATAGTAGGATTTCTGTGTCGACGCAGTTTCCACAAGTATAAAATAATGATGTAAAACAAAATAGCTGCAAATTTTGACTAGAATGGGCACTGTCTGTCTATGTAGACATAAATACGGGGAGAATGAAATTCACTGAAAGCAGACAGATTGCTACTGACATGCACCTGCATCCAAGGATACACATCCACCCACCCACACTATGTCCTCATTTCCCTTTCATCTGGGCAGACACATCCCTCATCCCGCTTTAATTGCTATGCTGTGAATCATTAGATCCAGGGGTACAGCCGTGGTCACACAGAACAGGTTTAATAACCTCCATCAAACGGCCAGTCCCCCCTGCATCCCCACTCGCCTGCTACATGGCTGCTGTGACCTCTGCTCTGTGTGCACACACAGGACACCATTTCTAATACATGACCTTTGAGCTATTTAAGTTTGAATTCTTAGAAACACGCCTTTTCGGTTTCACACTAGTTGCTCAGTGCAACATTGAAGAACAGATACCGTCCCAGCTGAACCATGATGTATTTTTAAGTGTTGCAAAATGCAGTTCTATGAACAGTAGTAATCATTTATATTTTTGCTTTGCTGACTGATGACTTTTTTTTTTAGCTAAAATCAAGCATATTGCCTCTTGGAATTTAAACCTCTCATTTCCTTTGTGGACATTTTCTTGACATTGCTATTATTAGTGGCACAACCGCTGATGGTTGTAATATAATGTGAGTCTTCGGAAGCTCTTCTTGGCTGTGTGCAGATGGTCAGTTTTGTTGCGAATGTGTGTGACTCATGTATTCAGTGAAGCCAAAAAGCACAACTATACCCGACTCGCCCCCCAAAAATCGGCTGCCAGCTACAATTGGAAAGCCTCCAAAGCTCTGTTCAGCAGGCAGTGGATCTTCAGCATTTGGACATGTTGTACCTGCCAAATAGCCTCCGGATGTCATGCCCTTCATTCATTATTGGATCGAGAACTCTATCGATTCTGTCTGATAACTGATGTGTGAGGATTAATAAGTGGTAGGAGGAAGATTCTCTTTGAGTTGTAGAGCATGCACTCAGACATGAGTCATTCTGAGTGTACTCATGCATCTCATGTGTTTGCACTGCAACACTGAGGGCGACATGCATTTTTTAATTTTTTAACAGAACATGTGTTTTTGAGAAGATACTTATGTTGAGTTGATTAGTATAGCATTGTCTAACCCCTGAATTGATGTAATGCAAAGAGATGGTATTCACAAATTGTAAAATAGTCCAAAAAAGTTTCTGTGTTTCTCATCCCTGTAAACCCTCTATTCTCCAGGCTGCTGACTTTAATCTGTGTTTAGCTGATAGTCTGACAGTTGTAAAGCTCTATCGATGCTAATTCTGTAATGTATACTGCATACTAATTTAATAATGTAACATTTAGAAAATGTGTTTGTGCTTTTTTGGACCAGCACACTGATCTTTAAGGGCATCATTTCTGCTGCCGATTAGAAGGGTGGGGTTGACGTGGTCATGTCCCCCTCACTTGTTAAAATCCTATTTTTGTTGCTCCACTTTTATTGTTTCGGATGGATTTTCTTAATGCAATCTCTCTGAACACTTACTGTCCAGCTGCCATGGAACACATGAGTGAGACGTTATCTTCGGTTATTACTGTGAGTGCGCTCTAACATTGACAGCGCAATGGACAGTTTTAACAAAAAATATTAACATTGATTGGCTTTATACAACTTTTCACCTATGCAGTAGTACTCCCCAAGATGTGTAAACAGACTTTGATGTGTAAAAATCAGCGGAGTTCCTCTTTAAGGAGCAAGTTTTTTTGCTGGGTTTTGCCTCTCAGGTTACACACAGACTGCTGTACTTAGTTGGTGAAGGTTGTCAGGGCATAAAGGAAGACCTGCAGACACTACTAAGGGCTGAAATTATTATAAGTCAAAAATCTTCCAGAATGATCCACCCTGTAAAGAATTTTTAAAAAAGATTTTAAGTAGGCATAGTGAATTATTGTGGGAAGCACATTACCTGATTTATTCATATTTTCTTATTTGTTAGATTGACTTAAATGTATATAAATACAGGTCTGAAACACTAGTGTGCCTCTGCTACCTCCTCTCATGATGTGTAATCAACCACTGTAGCTCTGTCACAAACACAGCTCTGCACCCTCCCACCGCTCAGCTGCTCACCTCTAACATTTCCCTTTGATCAGAAGGTGCGACTAATGAACTCAGCTCAAATTTTTGTTTCATGGTGTTACTGATGCACCGCTGCCTCTGATGCAGCTGATGTCTCTGTGATGATAAGAAGCTTGGTCAAAGTCAGATTAATGAAAGAATGTCAGTGTCATCCACCTTCTGTTTGATGGATGTGATACAGTTTGATTGATTGTTGTGCAACTGATCAACTCAAGTCTGCTTATCTATGAGAGATCCTTAAATTACAGAATGCTAATACTAAAAACAGCTTCATCCTAAAGTGGAAGAACATTAATTTTGCATCAGTGACACGCATGTCACATTATTAGTTCCAGTGGTGCACAGTAGTACAGTTTATAGCTTAAAGGATGCCAGCAGAAACATGTTTTTGCCTCTCTCTGTCCTTTGTGTGCCACTGTTTGTTCGATTCACTGGTGGGGGGAAGGGAAAGGCCAGTTGTATGATCAGTATTGATCTTTGAAAGCTTATGCTCCAGGCCAAATGTGAATGCGAGCGTGCAGGGGTGTTTTCATCGGCACGTACGTGTGTTATGTCAGTGGACGGGTGATCCACAAAAAGGGGTTTGTGGGCCGTTTGCCAGGTTGCAAAGCGTGAATAGACAGAGCTCTCTGCCGAGTGTCTTATCTGCTTTACTCAGATAATAAAGCTGTATCGTTCATTCAGTAGGTGAGTTCGGTGGTGATTATTAGTCAAGCAGGTCACACACTCACATACAAACACACAGAGGGTCAAGGGCACTGGCAGGACTGAGCACAGCAGCGTGAAATTACATGTCATACTAATAGGAATCATGTCAGCCCATGAGAGCACACGGTTAACTTCACAGCACGATCAATTAGTGATCAGTTCATTTGACTCTGCTCTGCTGCTACTGTACTAACTGATGATGACTGTGTGTCCAGTGAGTCATTTTTTCTGTTTAGTCCTCTCTCATATAACACCTCTCTTGTTCCTCCTTCTTGGTTTCCAAATATATGTGAAAGGGGTTATTTTAGATGCAGCTCCAGGAGAATGTTAAAACACTAATATTATTTCAGAATATAAATTGGCTTGTGTGAGTGGATTAGCTCAGTTGTGTCAGTAGCAGGGTTGGACTGTTTGAGAATGCTGCCCTCATGTGTCTCCTTGTAGAAATGCAGCACCCAAAACAACAAGCTCCCATATCAGTATATGATTTTATAATGTGAATAATATTGATAAAATAACACATCCTTATTTCCATTGCAGGTTATGGACACACTATCTAAACTTTCCCACACAGCAATCACACAACAAACTGGAATCAGGTAAGATGAAGTGAAATGACACAATACAGACAAATATAATATTTTTTTTATAGATTTGAAACAATGTGAGCATTGGTACACAGTATGATACAGTATTATATGACACAATTCAATGCGTATTATATGGCAGGGTATATAATGATGAGATTTTAACACAGAATGCTTTCTGTTTGTCTTCCAAGGCCCTTTCCATCCGAGGAGAGTGTTGAAGATGAGGATATTTACAACCACCTGGAGGACCTGATAGAGTATGTTCCCTCTCCTCTTCTACTGACACCCGTGTGCATAACACCCGTGAAAGTTGGAGAATTTTACCTTTTACATGCTTGTGAGCGTTTTTCATTCGAACTTAATTGTAAAAAGTAATTTGTTCATTTAGTCTCCAGTTTTCCTATCACTTAAATATAACAGGTTGTTGTGGGCGCAGATAACATTTGTTCCCTGGGTGTTGACTGGAAGGCAGCCACCTCCTCCAAGGCTTTCAGTATGAGCTCGCCAGACTCTTTTTGTAGTTAACCACAAGGCGTGTGGGCTTGCGGCTTGATCATTTATTCAGGCCTTGCACTTAACATATGATGACAACTAACCATCTTATGATTGATGTTTTCAGGAATTTTATTCCAAAGCAACTTTATCAAAACAACAAATAATGCATTTTTCACTTTTGAAACTGAACAAGGAAGAAAATCATAACATTACATAATCCACCTACATTGCAAGCAGGACTCCTGGCACAGTGCCTTGCAAAGCCCTTTATCTAAATGAAATGCAGCAATAAAAACTGAATCTGAAAGCTGTTCAGAGACTTGACTGTGGCTTGTTTATTATGGATTTTTTTTAAGGCAATATAGTTTAGAATATTTTCAGACTGAAGTTGTCAGATACCAATTTATTCACATATTTTTGCCATGATTTTTACTTTTACCATTTTTTGTATTCATAGCGCTAAGCTCATATATATGTAAACGTCTATTGTTGGCTATATTTGTCTATACAAAAAGATATGGGCTTTTGAGTTGCATTTTAAGGGCAGAGCTCCTGTAACTTGTGTGGTATTGTCAGTCAGTCATGTGAGTCAGTGGAGACAGATAATCGTACAGTAAAACTGCTGTTGGGAAGCCTTACACTGCCACGGTGCTCTGGTCTATGTTTAGCGCTGACAGCTCCAAGCAGCCCACTAGTCAGTAGTGACAGAAGAAAACAGCAGCCTGACAGCATCCAGCTGTGGATGGGAGCTGAAAGTGGCAGCCTGGATCACACTGAACACAGCCAAGTTCTGCTCACAACTCCAGGCTGCTCAGTGGTCAGCAGTTATCAAATGGACATAACATGTACAGAATCACACATACACTCAGACATAAAACCCATTCATCCAACAGCGAGAGCTTCACTACCACTTCTCAGTTTTATTCATCACCTTTTTCCTGCTGAGCATTTACATACCAGAGGGAAAACCCTGGTTAGTAGTGTCTTGTGGTTACATGTATAAAAATACTTTATACCCCATCCTGGATGCATCATTTGAAAAGTGTCCTGAGATAACTTCTGTTATGAATTGGCGCTATACAAATAAAATTGAATTTAATTTAATTGAAATCTACATATGATTATGCTGTCATATACATAAACAAACATATGGATCATTTGTCAGTATTTTCTCATCAGTTATATCTTGGCCAATCTATCAAAACCTTAAAGTTTTAATGTTACTGGATATGGTTCAGCTGCATCTTGTCAGGCTTGTGTGCTGGGGTCCATTTTCCCCCATGCCTACCAAGTCCCAGCTTCCCTCACCCCTCACCTCACCCTTTATTCTTCACCATAATATACCTGCACACGTACAAGTCTGAGTCCTTTACATACACTGTGTAGAAGCCTCTCTTTGACAGTTTCTTCCTCCTGTTTCTTTCCTCTTGAGGACATTTGGTTCTAAGGTACATATATAAAAAGGACAAGAACACACACACAAGCACTGAGCCATGTCATGTTAGCCCAGTTGCTAAGGTACAGTAATTGGCTCAGATGTGAGCAGTGAGAACAGGCCTGTGGCGTCACACATAAAAGTCTTCGCCTGTGTGTGTGTGTGTGTGTGTGTGTGTGTGTGTGTGTGTGTGTGTGTGTGTGTGTGTGTGTGTGTGCCTGCGTGCGTGTGTGTATGTGTGTTTCTGAGCCACTTTCACAGCCATGGATTAAGTTCTGTGCCTGACTAACAAGATTTGTAGTATACTATTTAATTCCACTTCTGTAAAACCAGAACGGTGTGTGTCTTTGTGTGACCCTTTCATGTGGTTGTCATGAGGAGTGAAAACCATTACCCACTCACAGAAAAACGGACCAAACTGCAGTGTGATGTAATGTAATGTCAGTACCATATTCTGTCATGTGTCCTGCAGTGAGAAGGGAGTGGAGGATGAGGAGGACCTGTATGACTGTGTGTATGATGATGAAGATGGAGGAGAAATCTATGAGGACCTGATGAAGACAGAAGCCGTCCCTCCTCCGGTCAGTCCAGCTCTCTTTAACTACACTCACATCTTGACTAGGCCTCATTAGTACGGGTGAGAGGATTGATACCACTCTCATGTATGCAAACAAAATATAAAGCTTGCAGCAGATTAGCCTAGCTTAGCATAAAGGCTGGAAGCTAGTATGACTCTGTAGGAAGAGATCTGCCTACCAGCGCCTCCAAAACTCACCAATTAACACAATACGGTATATCTTGTTAGTTTTCATCTGTACAAAAACCGAAATGTAAAAGTGACAGTGGTTTTACGGGGGGTTATGCAGGACTATTTCTTGGCCGGGTGCAGTGACTTTGCAGGCAACCAGTGGAGATAAAACCCCATAAAACTGCAACTTGTTGTTTTTACTCTTTAGTTTTTGTATGGATTAAACAAACAAGGTCTGGCGGGCCCTCCTTCAGAAGCCGGAAAAAAGTTCATGCCCGACCACACCACCATTTTTATCAATCATTAACAATGAAAGGGGAAGCAACTACTAAAACAGTGGAATAAAGGTCAGCACAATAGCATTAGCAAACACTTGTTTGTTTATTTACATAAATCACATTCCTTTAACCTAGTTTCACTTCATATTTTCCCCCGAGACATCCACACACCCCCTGCTGTGGCTTTATGCCCCAACAGTTTGAGAACCTCTATAGTAGCGGATAGGCGAACTTTTCCTATCTTGTCTTTGTGCTAAGCTAAGCTAACCAGCTGCTGGCTGTAGCTTTATATTTGGCATAAAAGTTTTATCTGGGCATTAAAGTCCAGAAAACTCTCTCTTATTGCCGCTTAATGGAGCTTTAAGGTACAAACTGGGTGAAGTTTTACTATTTTAGTGGAAGTGAACAGAAATGAAGAAAGCAGTATCAACATTGATATTCAAAGTGCACCTTCGAAAATAATTAGGCTGTTTTACAATTCAGATTAAGGATATAATTTGATTTAGTCTTACACTTGTAAGTTTCAGTTTTAATGTTTATTTCACATACACTGTAAATCCCCTTTTGATATTTTATCTGTTTTTGGTCCAAATTGATATTATTTCTCCATTCCGTGCACTATTGAAATGTGCACAGAAAGTTGTAACTTAGGGATTTATAAAGTTAATTGTATTTGTACAAACCTGATAAATGCTTTGTTCAGTACAGAGTGATGATACCTTACACTCTATCATAACTGGCAGACAGTCTAGCTAGCATGTGAGAATCTTTGACCTTGCTCAAAGGGTTGTACAGACTACATCTGCTCAAAGACTCAACAGTTTGTCAGCCCACAGCGCTGACACATAGTAACAGTCCTCTGTGTGTGTGTGTGTGTGTGTGTGTGTGTGTGTGTGTGTGTATGTAGGCGTTCCAGAAGCAGGCAGAGACTGACATCAGGAGCTGCTGTTTAACAGAAATCAAGCAGACAGAAGAGAAATACACTGAGACCCTGGAGTCTATAGAGAAGGTACTGACTTGTTAAGTAACTTCTCATTGTCAAGGACACAATCATATTACTTTATAATGACACTGTGGTTAAAAATACAGTGTTTTGTGCTGGACATTTTGCTGTGAATTTATGCAAATTATTTCTTCTTCTATACTATACACAATGTATGCAGTCGTCTTTGTTCTGTTATCTACTGGTGTCACATGGAAACATGCACAAGTACATTTTTAGTTTTTTTTAAAAGTCACGTGTGAAGCCAAGTGTGTTTGTTCAATCTTACAAATGATGCTGGTTAGTGTTTCCCAACCTAGTAAAGCAGTGTCATTTTTTATTAGTTTTGAGAAGTTCAACTAAAGTAATTTTCTCCTCTAAACTTTTCAGATTTTTTAATTTCAATAACTGTTTACAGCCTGAAGGGGCTATTCAGTATCTTGCATGGAAAAAAAGGCAAAAAAATCGAGATAAAAAGTCTAAATTAGAGTAGCAGAACAATATTTTCCTCTTTCCTGTCACATTAATAAACACACACCCCCTCAGATTTATCTCCTTCCCACTGAGAGAAACACTGGATTGAACTAGATAGAGCACGTAGGTCCTCTGTAGTTGTCAAACTGCAGTAAATTGATTGAATTGGTAAAAAAACAAAACTCCAACGAACAAGTAAAAACTATTCTAATAAAGAAAAAATGTATTCATATTTGTTTTCCCCGCTCAGACAGACCCAAATATGTCTAAACTGAGGACAGAGTTGGTTTGAGTGACAATCAGTACATTGCCAATTTCAGTATCAGAAATAATACAAATTAACAATGACATAAACTGAAAAGTCTCTAAGTTGATGTAAGCCCAAATTCAACTGCAGTGGTAAAACACGAAAGCAAAGTTAACTTTCTTAGGGTGGAAATAGTCCCACTCCACTGATTTCATGCCGTAAAAGGATGACAAGAGCACTAGAAATCAATTTGCCCTCCTTATCACTTGCAATACGACAAGCTGACTGACTGTAATTACCTGTTTTTGGGGTATAATGGAAAAAAATAATGAGTTTTGTAACAAATGTGTACTCCCAGAGAGAAATGAGTGAAAGAATATGTTTTTTATTTTTGAAATTAGTAGTGGGTAATGAATAATCTCTGCACTGCTTGGAACAAACTGCTCCAAAAGACCAAAACTATGAGAAAAGCCCTTTTGTGGTGGATGTTTTCCACCTTACCCTGCACTTTTGCTGGACTGTGGGAGGCCCGCCGTCTCTTACCCCCCAGCCACAGCTACTTGTCTTCTCCCTCTTGTGTACGTTCACGTCTGGAAAAAGACCTTGCCAGATTTCCCAGCGGAGTATCTCAGTAGATGACTTTCGATATGAAGTGGATGGTGGAGTTTAGTTTGCGCTCGCCTGCTCCTTTGAGATGTAGAGGTGACTATGCGGCGGGAGTTTTCTGAGAGGAAATCATTAAATTGCAAACTCTGAAAATGAGATTATTGTCGTGACCCAGACAGTCCTCCTTGTTTTTGCTGACTGCAGCTCTTTGCAACTTGGCCCCATAATATAATAGCTTCTCACAAAATGACTTTCCCACTCTTACTCTAGAGGGGACGAGCTTCATTCTCTTGCTTTCTCTCTCTCCGCTGCAGCACTTTATGACCCCCCTCAACATGTTTTTATCCATGGCCGAGATGGAAAAGATGTTTGTGAATGTCCCGGTAAGTCATTGTCTTTACTTTACACTTTAGAGTGCAATAATCCAACTGGGTGGTCAACTCGGGGTCACAAAATTCTTTACTGAAGGGCACTTTTCACTCAAGACATTTCATTTCATGTCACAGTAGGAAAAGCACAGGTGTAAATAATAAACAAAAATCATATTTTTGAATTTGTCACACTGTCATGGCTAGTTTTATTTGAAAAACAGCTGTTGATTTAGAATTAAATGTGTATAAAAATACACTGAAATTAGTAGTGACTGAGTATGTAAAGACAGAGAGTCTTTAGCCATACTAGCGGCTCTTTGAGGCTGTACTTTTAGACACTTGCTTTGAGCTAATGCTAACCCAGTGCTAATTAGCGCTAAACACAAAGTACAACCAAGGCTGATGGGAATGTCAAGTTATTTGTCATAAACCAAGTTCAAGTTTTTTTTTCAACTTTGAAAACAGGTGAAATTTACAGTTCAAAAAGATATCTTTTTCCACCTGGGAAAATAGAAAACCCTAAATGCATTAAACGATCTTTGCTGTGCTTTGCTGTGTTTCAGGATCTGGTTAAAGTTCACAAATGTTTACTGGTGGAAATCCAAGACTCAGTCCTCCACAGAAGTGCACAGAACCTTTACCAGATCTTCATCACTTACAAAGAGAGGTACACTGTGGACTTTGTAACCTCTTACAATAGGTTCGGTGAATAAAAGAAATGATAGAAATTGGGTTTAAGATGTTATAACAGTTTATAATGACAGGTGGTTTCATATTTAGATGAATATGGAACAGGGCTATTTATCTGTAATAATGTCTACTTTAGGAATAACGTGTCAGTCAGCTCTGTTTCTTTATTTAAGTATTACTTAGGTTTTATACCTAACTCATTAAAAAGGCCTTCACAGTCCAAAAGACACTGCTTCTTCTCCAATCCTCTTGCTGTGTCTTCATGTCCCAGGTTGTTGATCTATGGGAAGTACTGCAGCCATGTGGAAACAGCCATCGCCACTCTGGATTACATCTGCAAAGAAAGAGAGGACGTACGCATGAAGCTGGAGGTAAAACCTTTTTAGTGTCGGTAAATGATTGTTTAGAGCCACAGTGACAACTTTACATTCTTCAACATCTCTGAATGGTCAGAGAATGCCCTCAAGTGTGTACCTGAGGCATTGCAGGTGATGACACCTTGACTGACAGCATAAATGATTGTAAAGTTTTCTGTTACGCTCTTATCGCTTGTTGCTTGAGACTCTTCAAAAGTTAAACTGCTCAAACAACTCTTTTTTGATTGGGCTCCCCTCAAAATCTTTGAGGACACACAGGATAAACGCTGCACTGTCACCATCTGGTTTTTATTGTAGCATCTACATATATAATTTAGAGGATAATCTACTGATTGTCTTTCTTTGTTGTCTTCTCACAGGAATGTTCAAAGAGAGCCAACTACGGCAAGTTCACACTGAGGGATCTGCTCGTTGTTCCTATGCAGCGAGTCCTGAAGTATCACCTCCTCCTGCAGGTACAGTCCTCCAATCTATCTTCTGTTTCTGTTCTACTGTAGTTATAAAGTCAGCATGTCTTCATAGTGTAAAACAATAGCCTTCCAATTAGTACCGTGAGTGTTGGAAAAGCAGGTAACTCAGATAGGTATGGATTTGTTTCTCTGGAGTCTGTCTTTTCATCTGTGAACACACAGGGCATGTTTTATTTATAGCAACATAACTTTATGTACATATCGTTCAGGAAGAAATTGAGGAAAACTGTTGAAAGTGCTGATGTGGGGCTTTGTTTATAGACCATGACATTGTTATGAAAGAATTTTTTAAAACTTTGAATTATAACTATTTCCAGAGATTTACAATGGCATGTGAAGACTTTCAGTGGAAAGAGGCACAAAAACAAGTGCTTTACTTCTACATAGGCTGGTATAATAGGATTATGTCAGTCATTTTCTGTTGTATTTATCTGTATAAAAAGTAAAACAGTATACTTTCAAACTTGAACTGTTACCTAGTAATAGTTTGAGTTATTATCACTGAAGATTTGTGTGTGTGTCAGTTTTTTGTATTTTAGGTTTCTGTCAGCATTATACTTTGTTAAATTGACAAAATAATAAGTCAAACTTGTAGCTGTGTGTGTGTGTGTGGGGGGGGTAAGGGCACTTTAAAGGCTGCTGTACAAAAACTAAAATGCATAGTCTGCAAAAATTAACCAAAATGAACATTGGCATCAGATTAATACAGATGTGCCAACATTATCATCTCCTGGTTTTGCTGCATGTTCTTGGTGAAAACAGAAATATTAAGACATGGCAATCAATTATGTCCTATTACCTTCTCAATAACATTTGAAAATTAAAGAATTACCTCCTTTGCTTAAGAGACATGGTATTATTTGTCTTCCACCACTAGTTATGCACGACGTTGCAGTGATGCTTCATTTAATACAAATTAATACAAATTTGGAGGTACTTTTATTTTAGCTAGCTAGAAAATATTTTACTTTTTACTCCACTACATAAATCGGACGGCTTTAGTTACTAGTTACTTACTGGATTATATATGTATAGTAATACAACACTTTGAAATGGGTGATTAAGCATAATGAGTACTTTTACTTCTGATACTTTAAGTATATTTAATTCTTATTTCCTCTTCACTTAAGTAAAACTTTGAAAGCAAGGTTTTTTACTTATAATGGAATGTTAAGTAAAGGATCCCAGGACTACTTTTCTAATACTTTTCTATCACCATATATTTCCATCACAACTCTTAACTGCTGTATATAATGTCCTTCACTGTCATTGTAAGTGATCAGAGGACAGAAACTTCAAGTTAAAAGTCTTCACTGACTTTATAATGACTGTCTGTAAGTGACAGAGGCCCATCAGCGAGGATTTGATTCATCAAAGGTTCTGTCATTGCCAATCAGACTTTATGAGAGAGAGGGCTTGCTGTCACTAGGTGGTGCTGTTGGTCATGTTTCCTTCTCCTCCTCTGCCGTCGTCCTTCAGGCTTCTGTCGTCTATTTCTGTAGATCGCTGAAATGACCTGCACATAATTGTCATCTGATCGAGACAATCAAGGGAGAGAAAATAGATTGATTGAACTGAAAGACAGAGCAGCGGACAGAGTAAGACAAACAACTAAAGCGAGACAGGCAGAGAGGTGAAGTATTTTTGAAGTGGTTTGTGGAGAGTGAGGGTGTGGAAACCCAGGACAAAGTCAGCGAGAAGTTATTGACGTGATGTCACTGACCGTAGATGTAAATGATTTTTAAATAGAACAAATATGCTTACTTTAAGAGTAAACAATACGTATATGTGTGTGTGTCAGTATGTGCGCGAGCATGGCCTATCCTTTTAGTCTACACACACACTAGATACACTTCTCCCACGGGGTAAGTCTGCAAGGTTGAAGGTGTTCTGTGTTTAATGTACATGTGGGTTTGCTGATGTACAGCACATTAATGAAAACAGAAGCAGCAGCGTTTTTCCTGGTGAAAAGATGTGCGTATATATGTGTTTGGGTGGGTGTGAAGGTGACAGGAGCACATCTTCTTCCTTATTCCACTGGACTATTCATCCATAGGGAGGGCTAAAGGCCTTTTTGTTAATTGATTTTGAAGACCCCCTCTCTTTGTAATCTTTGGCAATGTTAAAGATCCAATCCAATCAATCTAAAATTAAATTAACAGTATTACACATCTAAAAATATCAAGATGAAAAAGTCCAACTTGAAAATTTTGCTACCACGAATAAGCAACTGAGCCTTCAGATGAGAAACTGGAAACCATGCACGCTTGACTTTTCAACCGCAATAAATGAAAATGAAAAAAATAGATATAATAAATAAAGATTTTGAAATTACCTTCAGGAAATGTGTGAGTGGAATTCAAAGTAAATTTTAATTCTATAGGTTCAGTTGTATCTAAATGTCAACAATGGTCAACAGTTTACAATGAGTTATTCAATCGCTTCCATACTGTAGCCATATATCTATTTGTGAGGCACATGTTTGATTTGCAGTATTCATTCTAAATTTGATCTGTGAATCCTTACAGGTATTCAGTGCATTCAATATGAGTATCAGAGGGTTAATTTCCTTGACTAATGACTGAAAGACGTGTTGTCTGCGCTCTTCAATGAATCCAGAACAATTTGTCGGACCAATATACATAGTAGAGGACATTTTGTATTCTTTCACATTAAAGTGTTCATATATAGTTTCTCAGCTTTTACTTATTACTTTCAGAAATGAGCTGATTCCACAAGGGTTTTTAATAAAAAAGCCCCAGAATAGGCTCTCTGACACCTCTCACCCTCCTCCTGTTTGCGTGCAACACAAATGGCCAACCAAAAAAGGAGAAAACCTGTAGGAACAAAGTGATTGCGTTGTGTCAACATGGACTGAGATCCCTGTGGAACAGCCGGGTTATAGCCAGCTGCACTGAATAAAGCATCCACTGAGTTACTTTCCCACATGGCGACAGCCAGAATCTGTACAACTAATGTCTTGTCACTTCCCCGAGTTCCCCGAGTTCCTCTCTCTTGGCGTTTCTTTCTTTCTCTCTTTTTTTGTCATCAATCTTTCTCTCTTTCTTCCTCACTGCCTCCGCTCATCATTTCTCTTCCTCCCCTGAACACATCACGACACGATTCCTTCAATGAGTCCATCATGTATGGTCCCGGCTATCAATGTGACCACTCCCTTCCTCTGTATCTCTGGAGGTGTGGAGGTGGGAGCGAGGCTTGATAAATGGGACTCCGCCGTCTTGCTACTGATAATAATGCCCAGGTTGAGCTTGACTGACACCAGGGATTTGAGCAGTGCCAAGCAGACATATATATCTCCCTTAGCGGCTCAGTGTGTGTATGTGTGTATCTGTGTGTGTGTGTGTGTGTGTGTGTGTGTGTGTGTGTGTGTGTGTGTGTGTGTGTGTGTGTGTGTGTGTGTGGACACAGTTTGTATGGGCCTGTATGAAGGACATGCATGGCATCCTTCCTTATCCTCCACTGCTGAGGTCTAGATGTCTTGTTTACGCTGCAGCCAGGCAGTGGCAAGCAATTTTAGATACACACGCACACCACACACACACACACACACACCTGCAATACATGAGTGCACACACATACACACACACACACACACACACACACACACACACACACACACACACACAAAACACACACACCTGATTTATTTCAGGGCAGGATTTTTTCAAGCAGTAACTTTTTTCATTTCCTATCAAGACGAAAGCATTGTGTTCATGTGTAGGATGTGGCCGGTGTGTATGTAGTGCAGCAATGTAGTGCAACTGGATAACAATATTCATGAATATAACATTCAATATTTCTTTCATGAGCCTAGCCTCACTGTAATTTTCTGAAAGAGGTATTATCTTAGGACACTTGCTTACTCCTCTTTTGTGTGTGCGGTTTATATCTGTCCAATAGGAGTTGGTGAAACACACTCATGATGCCGCAGAGAAGAGCAATTTGCGGATGGCATTGGATGCCATGAAGGTACATCATCGGTTTATCCAATTTATTCTATTTACGCACACTCTAATCCCAGCATGCACAAAAAAAAAAAAAAATCCAGCAAATTTTCTTCATTAGGACTGTGTGGATTTGGTTTCATCAAATTTGATTGACAGTGGTCTGTCAACTCAGCAATCAACCCCACAACTGTCCTCCGATTTTAATTTAAATGTTGCATAATCCTCATTGGTGCTCGGAAGTCTGTAAACTAGTGAGAGTAACACAGGTATATATAGAAAAAAAATAGAGAGATATAGAAATCTCTCAAGGTAAAATAACAAAAACAGTTTCCGGTGTCTGAATTCTTACCAAAAAGGACGAAAGACTGGCATTACAGCAATGAGTCCTCGCATTATATTACACATCATGATTCAATGAAGTCTGGTTGAAAGTGACCAATGCTGAATACGGTTACCAGTATTATTTTGGCCCACATTCACCATGGTATTAATTACTTAGGATTGCCTTGATGACGTCAGATTTCATTTCATATATCCAAACATTCAAATATCATTCATTGGACCCCATCAAATATAGTAAGAAGCTAACTGAGAAAATTGGTTTTTAGGGCCTTTAAATGAATGCATTATTGTTTAGTGGATTGTTGGTTAACTTAATACCAAGGTACTCCCTACATTTAGGTATTGTTTATCATTAACCATGTCACAGCCTGCTATGAACGCTTGTGTGGGCTCACAAGCTACCACGTTCATGTCTGACAAGAAATATTGCACTTCATTAAAAGTCATTGCACAACTTTTGACTACACATAAATAAAAGAGTAGTCCACTGAATGCATTATTTATAACTCCAGCTTATTTTGTAACACTCGAAGGCTGTCCAATTGAAAGCTGAGAGTCCTGTCCCTAGTCAAGTCAAGTTTATTTGTAAAGCCGAGGGTTGCATACAGTCTCTCATTGGAGTTAACAAGCCCACATCAACAATGGTTACTTTTGGAAAAAAAAAGAAAAACCGTAGCACATAAAAGGAAAAAGGGGGACCTCAGCAAGTGCGGAATGCTGAGATGCTACACTGTACTAGCTATTAAAATGTTTAGTCGGAATGAAGCTAAATTCAAAAGAGATGCTTTATTGTTTTCTGATTTGTCTGCAGGACTTGGCTCAGTATGTTAATGAAGTCAAGAGGGACAATGAGACGTTGCGAGAAATAGATCAGTATCAGAGATCCATCGAAAACCTGGTAAGCCACCTGTTTCTTCCAAATAACTGATCTCAACCTCATGGTACTTTGTAAATGTTTTATTCCTGTCACCTTTCTTTCTTTTTCTCTAGAACCAGCCTCTGAGTAACTACGGGAGACCCAAAGGTGACGGGGAGGTACGAGTGGCCTCTGTGGACAAACGGGCTAAACAGGACAGGTGAGATGTTAGGTTGACGCGTCTGTTGGCTCAAACACTGATTGACTGATTGCAGCTTAACTAGAGTCAGGTACAGTGGTTGGAAAACTGCCAGAGTTTATATTGCTTTAAGTGCTGCTAGAAACTCAACCTGCGTGCCTTGTAAGTTAAGAACAAAATCAAGTGAAGTAATTGCTGGTGAATGACACCACAATCGATAAATACATGGTGCATGTCACATTTTTGGCATTCAGCCGATGCGAATGTCCAGTAGGATCCTAACCAGTAATACGTTTTGTAGCTTATTTTTTTCTCTCACCTGTACATTAAACTACATCTACAAACACAGTTGTGTGTCAGGTACAATTTCATCTTTTTTTGAAGCCACAGTATGCAGTTAGGGTTAGTCCTACCCTTCTTATGTACACTTGTCACCTACTGTGATTAGCTGTCTACTGCCTTAAAACAACAGGGAGTTATAGTTTCAGTTTGAGGCCATCCATATCTGTAAAGCTATCACAGCGACTGGAGAGGCAGACACACACAGAATATGCTCAAACACAGGTCCCAAACTTTGTTTAAACTTAAGTTTCAGGTAAGAAGGTTATTTAGTTATGACCACACAGAGGGCTGATAATATATAATAAATCATATGTATTACTTTTATTATTTCAGGAATAATGCATATTTCAGCTTGAAGTTAAAGAGAATACAGTGGACAGATGAACAGGAAAATATCAACTTGTTCATCAAGGTTGATTTGCTCTTTGAACCACAGGCACATCTTTCTGTTTGATGCTGCGGTGATCGTATGTAAGCGTCGAGGGGACAACTACGAGATGAAAGAGGTGATCGACCTGCACCTCTTCAAGATCACCAACAACCCCACGTCGGACAAGGAGAACCGAAAGGTCTGCACACACACACAAGGATATGGTTTCTATTGAGACTCAGCCCTGTTGTTTTATTGCACTGTAGCATCCTATGCTGACTCTGGTCTTTTTTTTCCTTCTTGACAAGAATAGATATTTGGAGAAAAATGATTTTAGTGGCGACAGCAATCACCATGAGGCTGTCAACAGACTTTTTTTTTTACAGCAGACATTTTGACTTTAAAGCACCAGGGCAACGGGCAGCATTAATGATGGCTCTGTCTTCTGGGTAACTAAGCATCTTCATAGACATGACTGCGTTATATTGAGCTGTGTCTGAAGCCACTATTAATTAATGTTATTAGTCACACCTGTGTAAATGTCCACTGTAAGAAATGTCTGAGTGACTGGCAACAGTGTTTGGAATACACCTGCCTGTACACAATGAGCTGTAAAAAACAGACAGGAATCACACATCTGGGATAGTCTGAACAGATTTTCACAGCTGTATCACTGAATTTTACAGATGTATGACATCAGAGAAATAAATTACACTACAGTATTCAATCAGAAAAAGAACAAAATACACAACTTTGGGTGGTGGAACTGTTGTGATTTTGGAAAATGCATTGTATTGTACAACATGGCCAGGTTTGATCCCCACAGACTGCACATGAGTAGGTCTCCCAAGTGAATTCTTCCTACTTGGCATGTACTTTGGCAGATACACGTTTTTCAAGTTTCAGATCTGGCCATCACCTTGGAAAATATATTGGCACGTCTTTCAGTCATTTCAGATTTTTTTCTTTTCTGTTTTTTGGCAGCAACACTCTCTCTTTGTGAACATTTCTCTTTCGGTAACCCACTTCCACTTTTGGCGAGGCCACAGTGATGATGTTTTGCATCAGACATGCAGAAAGAATTAGCCTCAATTAAATCAGTCAGAACGAAATGTAGCAGGTAGCTTATTTTCTGCCAGGCTTGCACACCACATTTATTGGTCATATTTGCAAATAAAATATTGAAGCATGTTTTTCTTCTTTATTGTGCTGCCCACTAAAATGAGACCATTCAACCATGAAAACAAGGGCTTTGAATTTTAATCCAATGAAAAAATTCCCAAGTAATTCCGGAAGCCAATTAGTTTATTTCTACACTTCTTAGTCCAGATATGTCACAGCTCAGAGAAAAGTGTGACTCACACGTCTAACTTTATTGTTTTTACTTAATAAGGAAGCTTCATTTCCTCGGGTCTGATTGGTGGCGTCATTTTGAATCCACACTGATTCAATTCTCAGTCTGAAAGAGAAAAAATGTCTTGAGCATTTAGCTTTTAATTTTATGGTGTGTTATCACCATTTTCAAAAAGCAATAACCCACTTTAAGCTGTGATTTACAGTGATTTTATAATAGCTACTGTAAAACAGCTTTTGATGACATTTAATTTCACCCGGGGCTGTATGCCATGTTCTTCCTAATAGGGGTACAACAATATAGTGAGCATATTCTGCTTCTACTTTCACGTTTTCTCTGTTGCTGTAATATACAGTGCAAAAATAATAGCAGAATGTACTTCTTAACATTCTGTAAAGTAAAAAGAACAAAGCAAGCATCTCATATAACCACCAATCAGCTATAATGGAGGGAAGTCTTGCACTGTTGAGTCCATTATTGCCTCTTTATGACTGAGTCAGCAACACTCAGAAACCATGTTGGACTCCTGACAAACCAATTAACAGCACTACTTCAACATAATGAGCAGCAATAACAATTTATCAGATAAACGCAGGTTCATAAAATTGAGTAAAAATCAAGTTAACTCGCTTTTTGACAGTATTTTATAAACACCTGTACCAATCTCCACACCCCGCTGCTGCCTTTTGTGCTCTGAGTCCCCTAGTGTGCTGCTAAAGTGAACTGCATGTGAAAGATTTTCTAGCTCGTAACACAGACAACAAAATAATCAACTGAAAAGAGTCTTAAATAATTTGGTGTATGCTTGTTCCAGCACATGTTTTACACTGTCTTGTTCATTTACCAGCGTAATACTTAAACAGTGTCAGTCTAGAACAGTCTGCCTCCTCCCAGATGGTGTTATCATTAAACCTCGCTTTGGGCCTGACAGCATACACACACACACACACACACACACACACACACACACACACACACACACACACACACACACACACACACACACACACACACACACACACACACACACACACACACACAAATACGTACACACAGTGAATACTAAGTGCCAAATGGTGAAAAATATTGCCAATCATAATGAGGAATGATATCTAAGGCGAGCCAGGAAACAATGATTTGGGCAGTAATGATGTTGTAAGTAGCAGACATTAGTATGCTTAGACCCATATGGGCTTATATAGTTGTTGTTTTTTATGAAAGTTTCAGCTACCTCAGTGTCATTCACCTCTAAAATGATGGATATGATGCAGTTTGTTTGATGACAAATTTGTTATGTAAATGCCGACAATGACAGTGGCTGTCTGAGGGAAGCAACAATAAGAACCTTCATCATAGAAGCAAAATAATCACATTTGCATGTGACATCTGGAGGTAGAGTCAGATAACCTTAAAGTCTAATCATTTCTAAAGTGATATACACAGTAGTAGGAAACATTTGTGCAACCATTGGAATTAAGCCATTTTCATGCTAAAGCTGATGATTTAATGCAAGAAGTGACAAAATGAAAGCTTCACATGCACTTCAACTGTTAAATCTGCTATAATCAATATTTCTAATTGTTTAGGTGTCACATGTAGTGACGTACCAAGTTCCATTCACTACATGAAACATTTTAGCATCTTTCAGGTCATTGTTTTGTTTTCCAGCCTGCCACTATACTTCACATTGTATAAGTAGCAGTTGTTTCCAGCAAAAAAAAATGCTCACTGTACACTTAGGGTGGCCATTCGTCTGGCTTTAGGCCGGACAGTCCGGCTTTTAAATGCCCCGTCCGGCTGCAGGCGCAGCCTTAAGCTGGACACTCATTTGTCCTCCTTTTGAGAAAATAACTAAAAAGGTCCGCCTTTTGACACATTACCTTGTTAGTTTAATACTTATTGGCTAAAAATGTGTGTCAAAATAAGTAATTTCATTGGTTACATTTTTGTGTTGTGATCAACACATGGCTAATTTTAATATTCAAATGAACCATGTGTTGATTCCCACTTGATCACCATAGTTGTTACCACCAGTCAATCAGGCTCTCAGCGACAGAGAACTAATGTGAGCTAACGTTGGTTGTTGGACTGAAATTCTGAAAATGCTTATAAAGGCAAAGCCTATACATATGAAACAGAAGGTGCCTTTTTTCTTACCCTTCATCTATCCAGATAAAAACATTAAGAACAGTTTCTGTATGATGTTTATTAGACCTATGTAATCTGAATTGGAAGGGCACGTTGTCATGAGCTGTATCTTGTATATTTATTATTAGCTATGTGGTATGTGTATGCACCTTTATGTAATCTGGTGGAAAAACATTAAAATTTAAAACCAGATCATACCAAACAAATATCTGCTTGCGTGTCCCTGTGTATGCAAAGTGTCCTCCTTTTTGGTGTGAAGGAAATGGCCACCCTATGTACATTATGGGCCCAGCACCAAACCGCAGACAGACAATGTTAGACTATCTAGTAAAACTACAGAGCATTTAAAAGCTAAAGAGCCAGATATCTCCCTAAGGAGTTGTTAGAGACCAAAACAGAGCTAAAAGGAGTGTGAATATAACATTATATTACAATTACATTATTATCACACTTGCCAGGTGGGCAGAAACAAAACTTCAAATTAATGCTAATGCTGTTCTATGTCTGCTGGATGTGTAGACAGGCAGCTGTATGCAAACAAGTTAAGGAGCCATATCTACTTAAAAGGTGATATGTCAGAATTGTGTTGGACAGCTTGTTTCTGCTGCCTCCAAGTGACCATAAAACCCAGCTGTTGCAGGTTTAATGTCAATAATGGTTCTGAAATAAGGGTTTCACTCAGGTGCATTGACCTACATGGTAGGAGACATGAAGAATCCTATTTTAGGAAAATCAACAAAGAAATACTTTACCTTATCCGTCTAAATCTGCGATCCTTTTAAATGCCAAAGATAAGCCAAAAAAAAAAAGAGAGAAAAAGACCAAAACTGACAGAAAGACAGACAAACACCTTCTCCTTCTCTTTACAAATTGGTAGCTTGAGATATCTTTGCTGAGCGGAAGTCTTGGTGTCCACTGGGAATGCCTCTGTAGAGCGCTGCTTTCCTTTTCTCTTTGCTTTCAATAGAAATGATGTGCTTCCCTGACAGCACTGTGAGCTTGGCATGTTTCTAGCCTTCAGAGCTGAGTGCTATAAGTTCAAAACCACAACTAGGAGCCACAAAAAGTGCATCTCACAAGCATCTGTTTAGTGATGCTATCCAAAAAACAGAGGCATGTGTTGACACAGAGGCTAATAGACAAATATTTAGCCTTTGAAGTGGGTAATGGTAGATGATTACAGGCCCACTCACTACTTGGGTCTGTGCATGCTGTCTGATGCCCAGCAGTTATGTGGCACAGCTACCTCACACTCGTTTCCTCTTCTCCTTCATGTTCTTCCTTTCTGTTTTGTCTCTGTCTGTCAGTTGTGCCACCCTCCAACCCTTTCAGCCTTTGTGTTTGCTCTCCCCGAGGCTTCCCTCTTTCATTTTGCATTTCTTTGTCTCCATCTGTCTCCCTGCATCCTGTCTCCTTCAGCTCCTGCCCCCCCTCCTGCTCCATTTGTCTCTCACACAAACCCTCCATTTATTTATTTGCTGTCATTTTATTTTCTGTCTTAAATGTGTGTGTTTTTTCTCTCCCGTTGCAGTGGTCCTACGGATTCTACCTCACTCATAACCAGGGCCAGAGCGGCTTTGAATTCTTCTTCAAGACCAAAGAGCTGAAAAAGAAGTGGCTGGAGCAGTTTGGCATGGCCATGTGAGTGTGTTTTGTCTGTATGTGTATGGTGTTTGTGTGTGTGTGAGTGCGTTCATGTGTGACAGTGTGATGAGAGCGTGTGTCTCCTTGTCTCAGCTGCATTTCATCGCAGGATCAAAGCACACACATTGCCCATCCTGTTATTCAAGTTAGGCTACTTGATGATTTACGAGGGACACGAGACATGAAACCAAAAGCTGACTGAAAATGCACTTAAAGGGCATCATGGTTTCTTAAGCTCATAAATGAGTAGCTTTGTCAAAATAGTTGTATTTTATAGTATTTTATAAATATTTAACACTTTATACTCAGAGAACACAATTGGTTAAATGTAATGCCAGCACCAGGTCTATGCAGTTAAACTACATCAACCAGTCTACATCCTGAGCTGGATCCAAATTCATCTACAGTGACAAACTGGTGCCAAGAGTGACAAATGGAACTGTAGTATTTCACTTGAAGAGCCAAAAACAATGAACTGACTAACCGTTTAACCCTTTAATGCCAATACCTCCCCCTTTTTTTATTGCACAAAATTAAATGTTTTCAGTGTAAAGCCAAAGAAACCATCATGGAACAGCAAACTCCACACCAAGAATAACAATAACTAATATCACTGAATCTGTTCGAGATGTGTCAATAGAGTATTCTTATATATGTGATCAGAAAAAACACATCTGTCCATTGTATCTGACGGGGTAGACAGTAAATAGACAATATCAGCAAACTTAGATGTGTTCCAATCTGCGCACAAGTCATGACAATAAAACAGGCATAGTAGATCCTTTACACTATCTCATGCACAACCCCTTCTGATGATCATTCTTGGTCTTATGACAAATCAGAATCCTCCCAGTCCTCCCTTGTCGACTTAAGTTTGAGCTGAGACACCTGTTATTGGATTAAGTTATCATTATCCGCCTCAAGAAATGAGTTAAGATCAGTGGCACTCTCAAGCAGGTGCAAATGAAATGCAATGAAAATGTAGAAATAACAAACTGAGGAAAAAAAGGGAATAATGAAAAGAAAAAGAAAAATCTGTGAAATAACATTTTCAAGCTCCAAAGGAAAGCAACAGGCCTTAACAAGAAGTGAAGAAGAGGATGTGGCGGTTTGATGTGTGAAAACAGGGGCTTTTGGGGTTGAATTAATGAGCTACGAGAATAGAGAGCCGTTGCCAGACAATCACGTTCCCAGAGCGACGCTCAATAGCCGATCTGTGAACAGTTGTTTTCTCACGTGCTGCCTTTATTTCTGAACCACACACTGTTTCCTACTTGACTAAAATTCAGCAGCCACAATGGGTAGGTAGACACACTGATCCACAAACAGAAAGTGAGAAATTAAAGACAAACTGTTGCTTAGACAGCAGGGAGCGAACGCTCCTTGAAAGACAGAAGAAGACTGTAAATTAAGTCATACTCTATTTCTGAGTTTAAAATTCCTTAAAATTCAAGCGTCTACCTCTCAGCGCAAGTTTGGACCGAACAAAGTTGCATCGGACAGCTTTAAAAGCGTCAGTACACATGAGATGTGGAACTGGAAGAGGCCAGTCATACTCTCAAAGTCAAGCTGAAAGAAAGAGTGAGCTCAGGGGGTTTTATTAAGGTTATTTTTTCTTATAAACATGCCATAGGAATGTATTCTGTATCTTTCAGTGTGATTATTTTTATGGTAAAAGTGGACCCTCTTTCTTGTCAGTGGTATGCAATTTCTAGTTAATATCAGTCTTCAGTAAAAAGCGGATATATTGGTTGACCCCAGTACAGAGGAGAGGATACCACAGATGTTCTCTTCTTTGACAGTTTCTTCCATCTCAGTGCTGTTTGTCCTATATTCCAGAGAACATGCTGTAGCGCTTCAGTTTGACTAATTATTTGAGTTTCAAAAGTAGCACCTGTGCATATTAAATAAAAAGCTTATGCAAGAGTGTCATCATGTCAAGCTGCCAAAAGAGTGAAAAACAAAGGAAGACCTCTTAAACTTGAAATAAACAGGCCTTTGTGCTACAGGCAAACTTGAGCTCTTTCTCTCTCTCTCTCTCTCTCTCTCACACACACACACACACACACACACACACACACACACACACACACACACACACACACGCACGTGCATCCATATCCCAAGGGGCCAAGAACACTTCTGTGTTCACTTCACTTCAAGCAGACCTTGTCTGTCTACTTGCAATTCTCTCCTTCCCACTTCAAAGAACTGTATCAGTGAAATGTTACTGTTGCCATAGAAGAGAGTTTGCTGGCTGCAATTATAAGTGAAAACTTTTATTTCGCTATGAAATTGACGGTTTCATCAAAGACCAAAGCTGCTGGTAAACTGTAACAAAATGGACAACAAGCACAAACGCGTTTTCATTTATTGATTTGGGCCCATTTGTAACTTCTTGCACAACTTACAACTCTTCCATTATTTTTTAGAGTTGTGTTCAGGGGCACTTACAGTAGTTACAGAACAGTACATATTAGTAGTACAATATTGTCAATGTTCACCTATATGTGCTAAAAGGAGCTTTAAATGCTGGTTGTTAATATTCTTTATTGTAAAACCCAGATATTGAGACCATTGTGTAATGCTTTTTTATTTAGTATCACAAGTCACATTATCATCATGTAGTAATGCAGAGACATGAACAGAGACTACATTGAAAACTCAGTGGTGCATTCAAAGGCAGTCCAACACTTGCGATTTAGCTGACACAGATCTGATTTTCCCACATCATGGTTTAGCGAGCCCATCAAAATTAAAACACGTGACACAAATCTTCTCCACTACACAAAGCTTTATTCATTTCACCAAACTACTTAATTTTTGATGAGAAATGTAGATCGCCATAAATATAAGTGTATAATATTACGACAGTTTTTCAGAATATTCTTTAGCAAATACAATCATTCTTTTTCAGTCAGTGAGTAAAAGAATATACTGAAAAGATGGTTATAATATTATATGTTTTGTATTTATGGTCCTTTTATATACGGGAAGGATAATGTTCATGTGTATATTTAGTATCTACAGTGATCTAAAAGTCACATGACTGATCAATGGATCAAACTGAACTAAAATTTGCAGAAATGACACGCAAAATAGGACAACAACCAACAGTTTGGTTCTTGGTGTTTGGTTCCGGGGTTTGAGGGGAGGTTGGTAGGTTTACCTTACTTGGTCAGATATAACAGTGATATTTCAGAGATACTTAAGTGATTACTCTAGAATCACCAGTTCATATCGTACGTTTTTCATGGATCTAATGTTTGTCTGCGTCTTGTTTAGATCCAACATTCATCCTGAGAATGCCACCAACAACTTCCATGAGTTTCATATGCACACCTTTGAAAGAATCACCTCCTGCAACTCCTGCCACATGCTGCTGAGGTGAGAGGCCAGTTATTATTCACACACACACACACGCACACACGCACGCACGCACGCACGCACGCACGCACACACACACACACACACACACACACACACACACACACACACACACACACACACACACACACACACACACACACACACACACACACACACACACACACACTCTATCGTCAAGCATAAAGGCTGAGGACAAGACGTGGACCATTTCCCTTCAAACAACTGTCAGGACTCCTTTGAAAGGCCTCCACTCCTCCTATTCCTCTCCAGTGTACCCTAACAATCTATTCGTCACTTTCCCTTTTACTCCTCTATTCCTTTGCACATGTGCCTTCGTTACACAAAGTTTCTTTTGAATTTCCTGAATGGTATCGGCACCCAGAGGACTGCGCCTCATGGTTTTTCTCACATCGGGAACAACTGAGTGGTTTCACCTACTGAGGACGGGAAAGAAAAATGTCTGTCACACTTCAGCACTTCTTCAAGGCGATGGATGGAGAAAGGGGACAAGGTTATTGCACTGTGAATATACAGAGCCGGGCCTTGAATTCACCAACATTTTTCACAGGATAAGATATGAGAAAAACAAGAATAATGCTGGGAAGGTCTCAAGAAGCATGTGACGGGCAGTGTTTCATTATTTTCTTATGGATTTTGCTATTTTGTTGATGATTTCTCAAGTTTTATTCATAAATAATGGTTGTTCCTTTGGACTGTCTCATTATCACTATTGTCATAGAGCTCTCTGTTTGCAGTACCTGTAGAAGAACATTTGATTAACTTGTGAAGACACAAGAGATATGAAATTACTTTATGAATTATGAGTCTAATGAGTCAAGTGTTATGTGATTTTAAGAGGTATATGACCTTATTTAAACCTTAAGCAAAAAGGAATTTGCAAATCGCACTGTTCTTAGCGTATGTCTTAGAAGGAAGTTATGAAAACACGAGATCTTCTACATCTAATCCAATCTAATATCCAGTGTATTGTATTGGTATTGAAATTAAACGCATTCAGAAGGTAGTGCTTTATGAAGAGCTTTGGCCTAGTTGAGGCATTGTGTCATTAATCAGAAAACACCATGCATAGAATTATTCAGTAAAGTGTCTTGTAGAAATGTTCTCTTAAATCTTAATTTGAAAGGAAAATCTCAGGCAATGGAGGAGAAATGGGAAGGTTTCATACGCGTGGTATCCTGTTGGTTTAAATTCACATGTTCAGACTTTCATCAAAAACACACACTGTAGTTCTGAACTGGGCATAAAATAATAGTGTACCTGCACTTTAACTCCATGCTAATTTTCTCAAAGAGGTTAAACAGACAATTAGCTAGAGAGCAAAGCAAAGCAGTCTTTACTTTCATGTCATTTTAATTAGGGCCTTTGAGATGGTTATGTAAATGAGAACAGGACTACACACTGCTGCTTCCATCTCTACGTGCATGCTTGTGTGTGCACACATCATTCACACCAAAATGTCAGTATCTTCTTTTCAGTATTTATTATATCAGCTGATACAGTTTTTTTTTTTTGTTGAAGGTAGAATTAAAAATAGGAATAATTAAGCTCTCTGTATACCTACCTAGCACATCTGTTTTGGCTTTGGAAGGAAGCATTTAATATGTGCTTGAGTTTTAGTGCTGCTGAGTCGGGAACGTGGAACCTAGATTTGAATTCAGTCTTCAACATTGAAAACCTCGAAGACTCACGTAACCCTAAACAAAGAAAGCACAGCAGTGCTTTTTGCTAAATGCTAACACACTAAAATGCTGATGTTTAGCAGGTATGGTGTGTTTCCCATCTTAGTTGAATGCTAACATTTGCTAATTAGCACTAACCTCAAAGTACAGCTTAGGCTGATAGTCATGTCATTAGTGTTGCCGGTATTTGGTCAAACAAAGCTTTCTAACAAATTACATTTTTGACTTGATGATGGCACTGAATGAATACAACGAAATCAGTTCATCCAGAGGGGACAATAAATTCATTGGTGATCCATCCAATAGCTGTTAAGATATATTTAATTCAAAACCAAAAATGTCAACCTCATGGTGTCGTAAGACAAAGTCGGGGGATCACCAAAGTCATTAGAATGTACCACCTTGGAATCATGAATGCCTGCACAAACTCTAATGGCAATCCATTTGATAGTGGTTGGGATATTTCAGTCTAGACCAATATTACTGTTCAGAGAGACACTCAAATTGAAGTGCAGCACAGCACCTTCAAACCATAGAAATTTACTCTCCTAAAATGTCAGAAAATGTGGCAAACTCTTGACTGCAACTTGGATCTAACTTTCTCAGAAGCATTCCAGGAATTGTGCTTTTATTTGCATTGCTGTACTGTTACTACTGTGTGTATACTTACAAAGCAATCCACATGATGACTTTCCCTGTTTGTCTCTCTGCAGGGGCATCTTCAACCAGGGCTACCTGTGCTCCAAGTGCGGTTTAGGTGCCCATAAAGAATGCCTGGGCCGCTTTGGCTGCTGCGGAAAAACAGGTAACACTGCTTTACACACATAAATATGAGTACTCTCTCACTGTATTGCACGACCTCATATCAGTCACATCTAGTCTGCAACAGTTCTGCGCTTGAACATGTCACTGAACAAAATGTTTCCATGGGACACATTAAATCTAATTGTATGAACACAACTGCACTTTTATAGCAGCATGAACATAATGACAGATGACACACAGTGGTGCATAGAACTTGATGGTTGAGTGTCTCATAGGACTAATTATGAGTATAAGGGAGGTTTGTTGCACTGTGATTTAAAAAAACTACACTGTGACATTCTGAAAAGTATTGCACCGAGTGGAATTGTGGGAATTGCTCTAAATATATAAGAACTTTACACATGCACTTATTTCTCCCAACCAAGGTCATCCAAGTATTGGATCAGTATTGCAGATATTCATTCAAAAGCTCCCCCGCTTCCATGGGTGGTTTTGACACTTCAGAGCAACTTAAAGGCGATGTCACTGTGTATCATTGTACTGATTCCCCAAAGCTTAATAGTAGTTTTACTGAGGACTTTTAAAAAACTCATGACTTTTTTATTATGCCCCTGTTGTGTATCTGTCACTAAGATCCTTGACAGCTCTGAAAGAAATGTGCCTTCAGATACCAGCTTAGCATGTCCTCTGCATGTGTGTGAGCGTGAGTGTGTGTTTGTGAGGGTGCGAAGAGGTGAAAATCCACACTTTGTTTGTGGAACTTCTTTTAGGTCTTGAAAGTGCATGATTGTGTTCTTATAGCACTAAAACCCTGCACAGTGTTCTTTTAAAACCAAGTAAGCACAACCTGCTCAACACTGCACCCGTAACACTGCGTGTCGCAATTGTGTGTGTGTGTGTTTGCATTCCCCGTGGCAAGCTGCCAGCTCCTGTTGGACCTGGCATCTGTCACGGTGCTATCAGGTCGCAGAGGCAATAACGCCACTGCCAGGTCCACCTGGGCACAGTGTGTACCTGAGTAGATTTGGGCGGCACCAGCGGCAGGAGAGCTGGTGAAGACGGGGATGTCGGTTTGAATTCCCACTCTCATTACTCCACACAGTATTCACTCTGTGCTGGTACAGGGAAATGTACCATGTACCAGTACTTTTAAAAAGTCTGAAACTTCAGAAACTTCTAAAAGTAGAAGTACAAAAAAAAGTTACTCAGTTACAGGCATTTTACTTCCTTCTTGGTTGCACCACCTTCAGCTGATGTCCACTGGACCTCAGCATTGAACTTTCTTCACTCTAATGCTCAGAGTGCCACAACAATGCTTGCATGAACAGATTTGGTCAACACACCAGCAGGGCTGCACAAACACACAGTCACAGTATAGGGTTATGTATGTGTGTGTGTGTGTGTGTGTGTGTGTGTGTGTGTGTCAGAGATAAGCCATTGTTTACCTGCATTTGTCTCTGTTATCAGCTCCCTCGACAGATGTTTGCGTAACAGGTCAAAGTTCACTTGAGGAACAACAGGCCTGCTGAGAGAAGTGTGTGTGTGTGTGTCTTTGTGTGTGTGTGTGTGTGTGTGTGTGTGTGTGTGTGTGTGTGTGTGTGTGTGTGTGTGTGTGTGTGCATGCGCGCGCGCGCAGGTACTGTAGGTACAGTGCATATATTTGTGGTTTTCTGACAGCTAGCGTGTGTGACTGCAGAGGTGTATGTGTGTTTATGCAATTGTTCTGTTTGTACAGGTACAGGAGTATGAGCGTGTGTGTGTGCAAAGGTGTGTATTTGTGTGTGTCTAGGGGGTGTAACCCGTCCCTCAGGGAGCCAATGAAAGAAACTGGTGGAGCAAAAACCTCAGGTCTGCTTCCCCCTCCCTCCACCCCCACCCCCCCTGCCTCGTTACCTCCTCTATCCTGGCTGTCAGGTAGTGGCAGCCAGCAAAACAAAGCGAACCACGGTCAGACACGAGCGTCCGCCTTCTCCACTAATGAGGGAGTGTTGCCTTGTACCGATGAGTGTGTGCAAGTGTTTGCGTGCACCCGCTAACCCGTCATTCACTATGCCTGTTCTCAAACTTCTTTCAGATCCTGGCACCGTCAGAACTCAGGTGAGCTGCTGCTGCTGCGTGTGCGTGTGCGTGTGTGTGTGTGTGTGTGTGTGTGTGTGTGTGTGTGTCCGTGTAGATGTGTGCACTGTCTGTCTGTATCTGCTGTTCGCCTCCTCTCCATAGCTTTGTTGCACTTTGAAGACTGCTCTCTCCTGCAGCTATTTGCCAAGGAGACTCCAATTGACTTTATTCGCTGCATCCTACCTGACGCGAGAAACAAGAATGTTTTTGCAGGATTTACCCTGACTTGTTTCGGCTGTTTCCAAAAGTGCTGTGTGCTTTACTGCTGCAATGCTGGCAAGTATCCCCAAGCAGGAAATTAGACTGAGCTAACAACAATTAACTTAAGTAGAATGTCAACAACTGTGACTAAAACTGTACAATCATCAGCAGTCTCATCAGCAAAAACACAGAGCATCTCTATTACCATAAGTTTATTTCTGGTGTCAGGTACTGTGTAGTCACTAATGAGAAGTGTTCTTTTGTGCACAAAAAGTGCTAAACACAAATTCAAAATGCAAAACTTTTTTTTAAACTTCAATCAAATGCTCTGATGCAATGCAAACAAATAATATGCATGATGTGTTATATTCTTCTTATTATTGGTAGAAGCAGTAGTAGTAATAGCAGTAATACTATTTGGGGTATAAATACTGTAGGATGTCCCATTAACTACATGCAGTTTTCCACCCTTACCAAAATATAGGTCATTATTAGCAACATATTTGTATTTTTTTCTGTAAAAATTACATTGCATGCTCTCTGCAACGTCTGCTGCACCAGGACACACAGTTTGCATGGGTGCATGCAATTTAATTTATGTTATGTAGTGTCTTCCATGGCAGGGCCATGACATGTGGTCTGTATGTGGGGAGACAGCAGGCTGGGTTAAAATATTAATTCAGCAGCAGCAGACGGGTATATTTGTACCATTAGGAGTGTAGCTAATAATTGATTTAGTAGGTCACAAGGTAATAGATGGGGATGTAGGATATCACTATGGCAGTGATTTGTGTGTGCTAATGATGCAGAAATTGATGAATGAACTTGAATCAGAAGCCTCATGTGTTTTTGTGCTTGTGTTTGTTGTGCGCCTGTTTCAGTGTATAACTTTCTCTGTGTGTTCTTTCAGGGCAAAGGTCGAGATCCAGGTGAGAAATTCACAACACCAGACACCGTTACACACATCCTTCTCTTCCTCCACTGTAGTCTGTTTTTTCCTCACTGGCAATGTTTATATGCAGAGAAACTGCTGTTACCAGATTTTGGTAATCCAGGCAACTGTAGACATGTACTAATACCGCATATTAGCAGCCTGCTGGGGTCAGCTTTGAAAACATTGCTTTCTCCTCACAAAATATGAGTGGCCTAGTATTTATTTGATGCACTTTTTCTAGATGATTCTCACTTAAAGGACCAGTATGTAACATTTTAGAGGATCTATTAGCAGAAATGGAATATAATATTCATTGGTATGTTTTCAGTAGTGTATAATGAAGGCTTTTGCTACCTTAAGATATGAACCACCATGCCTCTACAGTAGCCAACAACCATCGTAGTTTCTACTAGTTTTTTTGTACAGTTTTCACACTTTTCCAGGGCCGAAAATACCATTATCTTCATTACTGGTTAATCTGGTGAATATTTCTCCAGTTAATCGCTTTATTGAGGGGAATTTTTTATTGTTTTTAAGAACCATAGATGATTTCTTCACATTGCTTAATGATAATAGATATTTCATATATGACATAAAACAGAGAACATTGGAAAATCCTTACATTTGAGAAGCAGGAAACTGACAATGAGTTAAACAATTAATTCATTATCAAAAATATTGGCAATAATCTGTTAATAACCATTTTGTTATAGCATAGGAAAAATGCTATACTTCCTCTATTAGGTTGTTTGTCAAGATTGGCAATAGGTTCTCATGATTTGCTGCTGGCAAGGTGTCCTTATTTGTTTTCCTTGTATCAGAGGTGACCTGGCTCACTCAGAGGTGTACCTGGTAGCTACTGCTACAGCCGAGACTCGGTCTATGACTATGAAAGGATCATTTAAAGAGTTTAAGATGAATAAAACCTGAATCAGAGTGCATGAAATAGCACATTACAGGGTTTGTACAGTAAATGCAGTAAATATAGCCATTGAATATCTGCCTCCCTGCTTCTGTGGCCCTCTGTCTCTCAATCTTTCTCTAACAGAATATGAATAACATACAGCATCCCTTGAATTGCGCGTGTATGTGTGTGCCTACACTACACAGGGCCTTTAATCTCTCATAAACCTGGCTTCAACACTCATTTTTCCACCCTCCATCCATTATGCTGCAGAAAATCATTTCTGACTGAAGACGCATTAAAATCAATAGGCATTTGATTGCCCCAGCCCTCGGCGTTTCATAATATTTCGAGGCTGCTCTCTTTGTCTGTTTTCAAAGGTGCACTAACACTTGGCTTGTCCTTGTGTGGATAGGAATGCAATTCATGCCCCCAAGACTCAATTCTCCATGGCCCTGTGTCTTTAGAAGTTCTATTCAGGCAAGCTAGCACATGTCAGGCTGCCAACGTCAGTGCCACAGTGCTGGAACAGACCCTGAAAGAGAAGCAAGGCAGATATAGATGTATTAGCCTCAATACAATCTTGTTGATGTCTCTATTATTTGCCTTCAGCTTTAACCTTTTCTTCATGCTCACACTTATATCTCATATTGTGTTCCTGAACAACACTATCGCAACACAATGCAGAGAAAGATATGCACAATTTGTTATATTGTGTTGGGCATATGAGATACGAACTTGGGATTTGTTTGGCATGGGTGGATGCTTAATGACAAACATATTATAATTCAATTTCAGTGGTTCGTTGGTCAATAACGGGATCAAAGTGGGCCATTGTGCAAAATCAAATAGCGCTGACTGAGGTCATTCTAGAAAAACAACTTGAGATTGATTAAAATGTACTTCTTTTAGTGCCAGCGCAAACCCTGACTAATATGTAATATATTACCTGGGGAGCAATCAGTCCTTGCACTGGCAGTTGTAGTAGATGAGGAAAAAGTATACATACTATGAACTAGCTAAGAAAAAGGAGAGAAATGGTGACAGATATATAGTATAGTGGACTGAATAACCATGAGAATTTCCCTAATCTAACTCATAATTATTTATGGTAAATGTGATTAGGACTAGTTTTCATAAAAAAAAAAAAAAAAAAAAAAAGGTTTATGACTTAGATTGACAGTTCCCCCCAGAGGCCAGAATATGTCACTCAGCAGTAATCACTAAACACTTATCTTCTATCTACAAGCCTGATAACCAGCCATGCATCAGCGTGCACTGTCTTATCTGTAATATGATAATGGGTAATGGGTCCAAATTATTTGCAAAGGCAGTACATTGGTGACAAGGGGTGTGTTAGTACACATGTATACTCCCTCTTATTACCACCTCTAATGGGGCCATGAATAGTTTAGTAGAGCAAAGTTGCACCTTTAGAATGGCAAACAATCCCCTTTTGACCTGAGGTGATAACATGCATATAGATACATACATGGAACCAGGCATTATTGATTGATCACACCAGAGTTTAAGCGATGGATGTTTAGACTTATTTTATATCTGTCAAGTCAAGTCTAGTTTTAAAAGAGGACAGTTTGATTAAACCATCACCATCAGTTCAATCCCCTTTGTGGCTCATATTTACTTTAGATTTTACGAGTCTCTTACTAAACCATTTAGGTACCGTTTCTCACTCTCAGTATAGTGCTAGTTGGTCGTGTTCGTACTGTATGAACCCCTTTTTGCAAACAGTATGCAGGAACCAACTGTATCCTTCTTACAGGTTTGCCCAAGATGCTGGTAATCAGGAGCTACTTTGGTGTGCCGAGCCCTACGTCTGGTCCAGCACTCAGCATCCAGACGGGTGACATCATCGAATTAATCTGCGCCGACCTTCACAGCCCCTGGTGGCAGGTCAGAGGTCACACTATCTCTTAATCACATATTTCACATTACGGTAAAAAGTGGACCTACTGTATTTAAATCTCTCATTTCCTCCACTGTCAGTCCATCTAGCCCTCATCCTGACCTCATATTCTGTAATAGGGTTAGAATGATGTATCGGTTAGTCGGTTCTCCTTTTTTATTATAAGCCAGATCTGGTATAGTCAGCATGGTCCACTTTTAATCAAATGGATTATGCACTAATGTCCTGTGTATCATCAGATATGTTTATAGTCAAAAAAATAGCATTCCAGATGTATTTCTGGAGTTATTGATAACAAGCTGCACTTGAAAATAGAATTCTTAGTAACATGTATACACCCACAGACAATTACACACACTGCACAGGACGTCTTATAAGGAAGTTCAACTCCCACACACTGGAAATGTTTGTTGGTTTTATGCAGGCAATTACTATTATGTAACAACACGTGTGATTTAAACCGCACTGGAGGAAGAATTAATATGAGCTGTTTTCTGGAAATGCACTGTGGTGTAGCAGGCACTCACTGTGTGTGTTTGAGACAGGTTGTATCAAAGTCATCATATGAGACTTAACCCGAGGCCTGAAAATGGGCATTTTATTGACATGAACGACTGTACTATGGTAGCATAATCAGACATGTAATGAAGAAACTAACAAATCTGACCATACTTAATACAAAACAGATAAAAATAGATGAAGAATTCTATTAACCCTGTGTAAAAGCTTAACTAGAGGCAGCTACAGCCCCACAGTCAGCAAGCATTCAATATCCATCACATTTGTAGCCAGCAGACCATAAACATTTCTGTTCTGGGGGTGCGTGACAAATAGAATCGATCACTGTAATTTCATTTCATTCAACAGCAACCATCTGTTTACTCTGTCAATGTTACCAGCTATAATGATTATCACACTCTTAGCAAGGATGCAGCAGAAAGCAAGGCTTTCCACAAGGACTGATAAAATGTCCTGAGGTAGCATGGATGTGACAACTGATGACCACAAAACCATCAAAATGGGCTTAGCTGGTAGTGTGCTACCTGTTCCTCTGAGATTATGTCCACAAAACGCACCCCTCACACTTATTCACAATTTCCTGTTATATTACTCTTGTTCCCAGACTGCAAAATATGGGCAGTGCTAATTAATCCTATAAATGTCAAAATCAAAATGTCAAATTAAAACAGTCTGACAGTCAACAGGCAGTGCATGTACAGCCTATTGGTGCTGCAGCTGCTGGGATGATTATAGTTCTGCAAACTATGTTGTAAATATAAAAAAATAATAATACATGTATTGTCCTTGAAAAAAGCCTCATGTATGTTATTCAAGTCCAAATAACTACACATAATCGAGTGTGCATGCAAAATATTAGTCCTCAACGAAGTTCTTTATACGGAGCCCCTAAAGGGACATGGGAAAAAAATAAAAAATAATGAAAAGCTTCTAGTGAGCACTAGATACCTATGGCATGTTGTGGGGAATCAACACATGGCTCATTTGAATATTAAAATGAGCCATATGTTGATAGGTCACCACACTAAAATGTAACCAATGAAATTACTTATTTTGACACACATTTTAAGCCAATAAGTATTAAACTAACAAGGTAATGTGTCAAAAGGCGGACAGTTTTTGTTATTTTCTCAAAAGGAGGACAAATGAGTGTCCGGCTGCAGGACAGGGCATTTAAATGCAGACTGTAACAAAAAGGTTACAGATTCATTCACATTTATTTTTTAGTTACAGACAAATTAGTTTAATACTCATTTGAATATTAAAATTAGCCATGTGTTGATTCGCCACAACACAGATCCGTATCTAGTGCGCACTAGATGCTATCTTGTGAGAAACGTTTCATTTTTTTTTTTTTTCCCCCATGTCCCTTTAGGGGCTCCGTATTTTTAAGAGTCCTACAAAAAAAACAAAAAGGACAAAAGGGATTTGCTGGCTGACCACTATTCTGCATGTGATCTCTCAGTACAAATCTTTGGAACAGCTCTCTGGTGTGAGAAGAGCCCAAAAGGTCAGTTACTGTTAAATCCTGGTGTCATGTCAGAGGAATTAAAATAATTTATTAATGAAGAAGCCACGTTATGCCAACTGAGGAGAGGTGTGAGGATGTACTTCTGCCAACGAGTTGGCTGGCGGACACACAAGTTAAATCAACGAAAGCATAGAGGTTGCTTTTCACCTGTGCAATCTGGATAAATCTTATTTATCAAACTGAATTTTATTTATGTGCACTTATTTTTATCATTTATTTATAGTACCTTAGACTGTTGTGCACCCCTGCAGCTGTGTACTGCCCAGCAGCCAGCTCAGATTTTATTATTGTAGTCTTATATTAGGTCCAGTGTGAAAACTTTTGGAGGATCTATTGGCAGAAATTACACATATGATATGAATAGTTATGTTTTCATTGATGTATAATGACCTAAATATAACAATCATCATGTTTGATGTCTGCAACTGCATCGCTACATGCAATTAAATCCTACTCACTGGACCTTTAACAGGTGGCCCTATTAAGCGGTGTCTGTGTTGGCCAAATGCGTCTGTGGTTACTCGTCGTGACCATAGATGTAATATAAGAACTGGATGCCGAACACAAAGATGGCGCCCACTCACTTGAATGAAAATTGTTTAACAAATGCTGCTGACCCCATCAGTGTGTTTCCTATCAGTCCATAGACTTTACATTGAGACAATGTCATCCAAATTATAATAGCTTTTCTAGGCTTAGGAAAAGTTGTACAAGTATGAATTAAAAATGTATTCAAAATTCATAGAAAGAGTAACAATTGGGCCACATTAGCATCAAGGCTGACTGGTGGCGCTGTATCCAGTTCTCTAATGGTTAAACCAAATTACTAAAATGAATTTAGTGATAGCTAAATCACAGGTATCAGCTGAGCTTTGCAGAATAGTGGTTGGAATTTGCAAAATTGACAAGACAGGAGATACATATTTAGCATTTTATGTTTAAAGAGATACCTTTGCATTGCATTAATATTAATTAATTACATATACAGTATATAGACAAACAGTGCATGCAAGTTCCTGTTTATTTACCCAGTATAGAACTGTAACAGTAGTACTAAAACCTGTCCAATCAATGTAACACTGTGCTCATTTAAGAGATTTGTATTTATTATTTACCCCTAAAGATATTAATTACCTAACAAGAACAATTATTTTATATCTGTCATTTCTGAACTGTAAAAATGCTCAGAACTCTTAATCTTAATCATTTTTGAGCCTCGTGTTCTTTTCAGCTCGGGAATCATGACTGAATTATTGTCCTATTTAAGTGAACAGAACAACGACAGCATCAGCAACCAACAGCGCCTGAGTCAATCAGAAGAAGATAACTACACTATGGCCTCTAGAAAACCTGTATTTATATGGACTGAGTCTCCCCAGTGTTGATAAATCAAGGCACTGAGCTTAAAGAGTCGTCAGCATGGGAGGAATAAGCAACTCATCCTCTTTCCCTCTTCCTGCCAGTCATTATTTCAACAATAGTTAACTAGGGCTGTAAATTTACACGGATCTGTGTTGCAAGTTAATTGTTCCTGAATTATAGAGACGGAGTCAGCCAGATGCACATAACGCAATTATCTCTCTGTGGTTTCAGGGCAAAATCCTGTCGACGAAAGAGGTTGGCTTCTTTCCAAGCAACGCTGTGAAGCCTTGCCCATGTGTAAGCAGTACTTACTTCTATTCCTTTGCTACATTAGTGCCTGTTGTAGCAGCCCACATTTGGTTAGACATATTTACTATCAGTTCTGTGATGTGGGGATGGCTGGGGACTTTTGAGGTCAGGTAAGCTTTTTTACCTGGCATGAGAAGAAAAACAGCCCATGGGTTTCTGTCATGAAACAAGGAACTTGTCTTATGAGATAAAGGTGGTTTACTGTCTAATTCACTTTATCAATAAGAAGCGAAGCACAATGCAATATCTTATAAGGAACAAGCAATGCTTTATGTTGTGCAAAGAAAACAGGAAAGCTGAGAGGTAGGAGAAAGTGTGTATTGTCTTCACTGACTTGTGTATCAATTGCCTGTTTGTTCTGTTTGTTTAAATTACTCCACCACTGGATTGTCATGTTCCATTTGATAAAATGAAATTCACAGTCTGTCCAGCTGATGCGGGAATATGAGCCTCCCCGTAGACAACAAACCGTTATCACCATGTCTACGCTGTTGTAAAGATAAGAGTAGCATTAAGAGGTTTTATTGGGGCTGTACAGTGTAAAAGCACCTGTTTTATAGAAGAGCAAAACATCAGCTTGAAAACAGTACTGGTGCCAAGTACACGATTTTACTGTTGTGTTGTTTTGAAGTTGGATGAGTGTAAGCTTCATGAAAATAACAAAAAAACATGTCCACTTTTGCTCTTTGCTCCAGGTCCCGAAGCCCGTCGATTACTCCACTCAACCTTGGTATGCTCCCAAAACATCAATCTCAGTCTGACTGTATTTAAGCATAGATGGTCAAAGTCGGTTTTATTAAGTAGTTTTATTGGACAGAGCAAAACACATAAATTGCAGATAAATACATGTGTAAGCTAATTAAACAGCAATGACAATACAGAGTAATCAGTGGTTTGCAGCCAGTCAATAACTTCATTATTATTCTGTAATGAATTTTAGGGGGGTCAAGTTCATGTCTCTTTGGCTGTTGTGCTGTAGGTATGCAGGGCCCATGGAGAGGCTGCAGGCAGAGGCAGAACTCATCAACAGGGTCAACAGCACCTACCTGGTCCGCCATCGCAGCAAAGAGTATACAGAGTACGCCATCAGTATAAAGTAAGTCTGACATTTCTATCAAGTTATTCAAGAAGGATCCTACCTCATCTACAGACAGTGACAGTATGGGGCGCCCTAGTAGCTTACATGGTAGATCGTGCACCCCGCATACCCAAGTCTTTACCCGAGTCCTTACTGCATCAGGCTGGGTTCAATGGCACCTGCGGCCCTTTGTTGCATGTCTTCCTCCTCCGCTCTCTTCCCATTTCCTGTCTCTCTTCAACTGTCTCTGTCCATTAAAGGCAGAAAAACAGACAGTGACAGTATCACCACCACTGCTTATAGCTAGATTCCACCATGTTTCTACAGTAGCCCAGAACAGACATACCAAACACTGGCTCTAAATAGGGCCTTTCGCATTTTTCACAGCTACCGTGGTTTCTACTGCATGCTTGGAATGGCGGGTGAGGCAAGGGGGTTGCAATCTGCAACACCGCAAGATGTCACTAAATCCTACACACTAGCCCTTTATTATGACATCATCATTAATGAATATAGCACCAATTGCCCACACAATTGGTGTCTTTTAAATATATTTTAAAAATATCACATTCCATCATAAGAGGTTAATATCTGTGTGTAATATAAAAAAAAGTAAGTGGGGCCAACAAAAATAAACATTTCAAATTTTAATATTTATTGAGTAAGAATTGTGCACGGACTTGGGTCTCTTGGGGCCAGTTATCAAGAATCCTCAGATTTTATTGTTTCTCCTTACGGATTTAACAGTTCTTATGTCTGTCTGTGGCCACTGTCTGCTGGATTCATCAGATGCCTTTAGTCAAACCACGGTATTGACCAGATGTAACAACTACATAATTTGACGGACGGATTTATAGTTCCTTTACAGGGTGATGTGCTTTTCCTCTGAGGCTGAGACTGTGGTTAACCACAGTGGCGTATGTGAAACTGACCACGGATGCTAATCATAGTGCAGGATCTCAGTTAAGGCAGTTGTAATAGTACTCATTATGGTTTGACCTCAGAACCCACAAAAACAATCTTATTAGTTTATGATTAGAACCATAAAGCCATTTTATTCTTGGTAATGACGAATTAACCTTGGGGTTGCTAGTGACCCTACCATTGCTACAGTACATAGAATCCTGTCGTCTCTTGCTGTTGAATCTCAGAAACATTCCTTTAAACTTCATTTATTTATTTTTTAGAATGGACCGCTTTCACTGCCTTCAAGTTCCTTCTGCGCTGAAATCTTAATTGCTTGTGTGCACACAGACGCGGTGCTCTGAACAGAGCAGAGTAGAACTGTAAGACTGTTCAAGGTTATTAAAACCACCCAAAGAAAGAGAGAATCAGGGTAGAAGCCTACGTTGTGGGAACGACATATAAAAAGTCTTACGCTGAAATTGAAATGCCCTCTCCATCATTCCCTGCTTCTCAGAGTAGAGCTGGCAAAGGATTTTCAATGATTGTGTTCAAATAACCCAGAGACCCCAGACGCCCCCTCGCTGTACTCAAGTTTGATGTTTTGGGAAATATAACATAAGAGATAAGTAGGTTGATACAACTCTCATCACTGTACACTAAAAATGGAGCTACAGCAAGGAGACGGTTAGCCTAGCTTAGCACAAAGAACTGGAAACAAGAGGAAATAGATTTAGTTAGCTAGCCAAATGTCCAAATGACAGCACATTTGAAGCTCAGTAATTAACACATTATCTCTCTTGTCTGTTAAGTAAAGTGTAAAAATTATAGTTTGCGGTTTTATGGAAGAAATATTCTGGTACATTACCCCCAATATACAATTTGTTAATTTCTCAGCTCTCATCTAATTTAGCAAGAAAATGAGTATTTCTCAAAATATCAAACAATTCCTTCAACATTAAAATCAGCAACTCCATTGGCATTAAGGTTTTAAAAGTGTTTTGTGAAATCTAGATGTCTTGTTGAGTCCAGCTCAGTTCTCTTACCCAGGACCAGAGTCAGGCTGGGTGTCCAAATTACATTAATTCTAACTGGGTCAGGTAGGGCCTGGAGAGGGAAAGTGGGAACTTGGTAATGGTGCATCATGCTGCCATGCTGTTTTGTTTCTCTGTATTTGACTTTGTTTGGGTCGATCACAATTTGAAACTGATTCAATTTATCCTCAGTTTTTCAGTAATTTATTCACGTAGGTTCCAGTAAAACTTACTCAAAGCTGTTGATGCTGTGACAAAATTGATAGATTAAAGCCAAGTTGATTGAAGATGGCATAGTTGGTAGTGTTGTTATAACCAGTCAACTGAACCAACGATCTTTTCACAAAACTGACAAAACCTTGTCAAACTGCCAAAATCCATCAACATTCCGTGCATGAGCTACTTTCTGACATTTTAACTGAAAGTGGCTGAATATCAAGTGTTATGTTGACAACACTATTGAAACAATTACTTTTTATTACAACTGTACATGAATAAATAGGCCATTTGGCCCTGGACTAATAGGGTATTCTATTTGTCCATACTATTGGCTCCATTCTATTTTAAATTCTAATTTTAGGCTCTAACAAATAAATAGTATGGGTATATTGTACATTTTCTGAATCATCAGAGTGCCTTGAGTATTGAAGTTGTTGAGTTTTGTGTCCCTGGTGTTCTTTCATGCCCCAGGGATAAAAGAAAGCATACAGTTTAGGTGGAAATTGTGAGAAAATGTGTGTTATTTCTGGTTTAAAGAAGTCATGTGACCTCTGTGTTTGGCAGACAGATTCAGTACTTGGCTTAAATGAAAGCCTAAAAGGTCCCCTTTCCAGCGATACCAAGCACCATATTATAGAATATTGTCAATATCCCTACCATGAGCCTAAACCAGATATACACCAGATTCAAAAACGGAATTTATCTTAGGGGGTTAGTAACTTAATGAGCTGAAAAAAGTGATTTCGCTACCACCCCTGCACTGCTATCGTGATTTTTCTAGTACTAGGGGTGTATACCTTGCCAAAAAACAACGATAGCATTTGTCCCCCCGATGATACCGATCAACCCCCCTGGCTCATGGACTATATGTGTAGAATGAGAACATTTCAAACTTTTGTGCCTCCTAGTGGTAGTGTCAAAGAAGACCCTACCCCAAACCAGGGACACTGAGAATGAAGTCTATACATTGCTTTCAGTCCTTCATCATTTTTTTTTTTATCTGGGGCGTCATATTGTTTTACTAAATTAAAAGGTATTAGAATAAATTGATACAATAAATCTAGACATAATATTGTGACTTAAAGGTCCAGTGTGTAGGATTCAGTGGCATATAGCATCGTAGTTGCAGATTGCAAATCCCTCGCTTCACCCTCCCCTTTCCAAGCATGAAGGAGAAACTACGGTGGCCACGAAATGCGTGAAAAACCCAAACATCCCTCTCTAAAGCCAGTGATTGGTTTCCTTCTGCAATTCCTATATTCAGGTGATATACACTAATGAAAACATACCTATAAATATTATATTATATTTCTGCCAATATAGCCTGTTACACACTGGACAGGAATGAAGAGATTGATGCATATTGCACCCTGTTGAATAATTACTGAGAAAGCAAAACTGAGTGAAAGAAATCCTTCTGCACACCCTGTCCACAACTTTTACTCATCCAGCCTCAGAGCCCATCAGCCACCCTGCTAATGCAAACAAGTATGTGGTTTAGGGGGCACATTTTCTCCTGACCACACATCATTCACATGTCACAAACCTTTGGGACCCTATGCATTACAGCGACGGCCGTTCTCTCCACAGGGGCCAGGGGCCGGCCACCGATCGATGGCGGTGATCAGAGAGGGAAATTACACTCATAACTTATTCAATGGCCCACAGGTACAACAACGACGTGAAGCACATAAAGATCCTGACCAAGGAGGGCTGCTTCCACATCGCCGAGAACAAGAAGTTCAGAAGCATATTAGTGAGTCTTTTCAGCCGGTTTTATTTTTTAAATTCCACCACTGCAATTCATAAATAAATCATCGCGTTCGCTTAATGAAGTGTCAGAACCTGAATTTTATTTTAGCAGTGTGCACAAAAATAGCCATGATTAGAGACGTGTTTATACTGGCCTGAGGGCTTCAGCATTATAGATAACTCCAGCGCATATTGGAAAGGTTCACCAGTTATATTTATGCCAGGACTGTATTTTCTGTATCTTAGATTAGCTAAAAACAGGTTTCTGAATATAATATTTGAATACCAGCATGTCAAAACAGTATTTTAATAAATTATATTTTCACCACTTTTTAGAGTCAGAAAACCTGATCAAAATTTCTGTCCAATGTTGTGGTATATTCAGTCACACTTTTAGGTTCTCATAACTCATACTGTAATGAACCACATTATTTATTTATTTTTACATAGTGTAAATGGAACATCTGCAGCAAGTTAAGCAACAGATACTGTGTTCATAATAAGATTACATTTTTTAAGCAGACTCTTCTTGATTTGACAGATATGTATATGATACAGATGTTTCATGAATAAAGGGTCATTAGATCTTGACAAAAAAAAAACATTCATGAATATATAATTTCAAGAGAAATGTGACATGCACTAAACACAAATGCAAATGACTGCATATCTGTTAGTTTGCTTACTTATTCTTATGTATATGTGTGTGTGTTTGTGTGTTTGTGTGTGTGTGTGTGTGTCCAGGAGCTGATTGAGTACTACCAACACCACTCCCTGAGAGAAGGTTTTAGGAGTCTGGACACAACGCTGCAGTTTCCTTACCGGGAACCGGAGAACGCTGCTATGCACCGCCTCAACCGGTCAGGTAGCAACAGTGAGTAGACCTGAAAAGTCACTAAGAATAGAAACAATCCACCACTAAGACACTAAACACTTTAATACAGTGATGGTAGCTTATAATGGGACAACTGGACAAACTAGTGACGAAGAAGAAGGTTTCCCAAAAATACTATATTGACTTAAATTAAAGTACTACAACTGCAGTGCCGATATTGAGAGGTTAATTAGTATTTAAAATTTAAATTCATCCCATTCTGTATTTGTATATTTTGAGCTGGTGATACATATCACTTGAGCTTTAGCATGAAGGAAATATCACAGTGAAAAAGGGCAGAAGTTCATGAAAAATCTTGTGACACCTCATATAATATGAACACCCACACATTCAGAGGGTTCTTTAAGTTTATGGTATCATGGCTAAGGCTGTAACTAATGATAATTTTTATTCTAAAGTAATTTCTTGATTGTTTCTATATTTTGTCTATAACATCAAATAATATTATATATATATATATATATATATATACATACATACATACACACACACATACATACACACACAAATGCCAAGGACAGTTTCTCAGAATCTAAGGTTACGTCTTTGTTGAGTCATGTGACAGTAACAGTCTAAAACAGAGATAGTTAGTTTAGTATCATATAAAAAAAGTAAAACCAGAACCAGGGAATGAATTGACTAGTTGTTTCAGCTCTAGTAATGCCATTATAAACCATAGAAATCTGACAGTCATACATGCTGTCAGTTATTAGCATCAGCAGACTCTTTGTAAAGAAGTCTGTGTGATCTGACACTGCTGATCATTCATGCTACTTTCATTGTTAATAGTTATTTGTTTCCTGCAACATGCAGCTGTTTCAGGCTCTGCTGAGTTATCCCACCTCTACTGCAGCCGCCTCTTCTGTTATTTTATCTATCATCCTTCCCCACTCTCTCACGCACTGCTTTGAATCACTTGGGAGCATCTTCACAGCCTTAAAAGTGTTAGGTATCTATTTGTTGTTAAAAACAGTCCAGCCTCCTCTGATGTTAATTGTTTTTGACTGTACTGTCAAACGGTGGTTGAAGAGTCCGTTAAGCATGTTATTAGATTTGATAACACTCTCTCGACGTTTACTGAAGATCAGATCATTCTGAGTTTCAGGGGAAAGACGTAATCTCATAGAACCTTCAACAAGACAAAGTTAAGAGCTTTTATAATCTTGTAGTTGTATTCTTATCTGCTGAGTGGATGTTACAAAACATTTTAAAAATATCCATCATTAGTTACTTTTTCGCAATTTTTATTAGATGTTTGATGATCACTTATGACATATCATAGCCTTTACTAAGCAATAAACAGAGTGATTTAAAAATTCAGTATTATGGAACCAAACTCGATCATGAGTAAATTTGCTACACGAGTATCGGTGTAATTTGTGATATTGAAAGTGAGCGATGCCGCAAAAAGTTGTCGTCAAACTTTGTTCTTGTGGATGTTGCGGTGTGCTGTCTGGCAGTTGTTGGGTGAAGATTTGAGCTGTGTGATATTTTTTTACCTGTGTAAGAATGAGCTGTTTGTTCTGTTGTGAACAAACCTGTCAGCACCTCAAGACAAAGCAGCTGTTGTCACCAACACTTTCGAAGGAGCAGAACTGTACTGGAATGTAGCACATTGATGATTATTTATGCATGCAGCTGCCGTTCCTTCTTAACTGTGCGACTTTGTCAGTCATTACCCTAACTAACCTGATTCCTCTCAACATTCAGGTGTTCCAGTGAGATGTTTTTCCCTTCTTACTTGGAATATAACAGGTGTGGGGTGTGTAACTTTGAACTGAGATTTTAATTAGATGATGTTTGGGTTTGACGTGAAGCAACAGATAAAATAGCGGAGCATTGTCAAACTGTCCTCTCTGGAGTGAATATAGACCTTTTTGAGACATAAACTATTGTTTTTCTAGTGTAATTTAGTCATGAGAAGGATTTTTAAAGAGTAGAAAGGCTAACAGTTCAAGAGGTTCTTGTATGCTTTGTTCTATTGGATTGGTTGATAATGTCAGGTGGGAATATGTTTGAAATAACATCAAGAGAGGTTTAAAGACTAACAGTTAACTGTCTGCAACTTCCACACTGAAGGGCTGCTCCCCCTGTGAAACGTCCATGTTCACCCCACACAAGCTAAATGTTTCCCGCATTGCCAGAAGAAAAGGTATTAAACAGTGTGTGAGCTAGGCGAAGCGTCATTGCCCATCAGTTGGTTAATGGAAAATGTATGTCTTCAGTGGGAAAATTAGATTTCGTTTGAGCCCCGTATACCACTGCGTGCAATCGCGGGGGGAAAAAAGGCCTGGCTTGCTGACGATCATGTTCCAAGTGGGAGAGATGTGAACAGATTGTTCCCAGCTCTTCGGTTGTTCTAGACAAGGCCTGTTGTTCAAACATTGCTTCACATCACAAGTTGAGACAGCTTCAATCCAAATTTATTTTTTTCCGGTGTGGTCTTCGGTCTTGTAGGCAGCCTCCTCCTGGTGTGCCGAATTCACTTTTAAATGACTCAAGCACTGCTGGAAGACTGCATATTAATGTTTGTGCTTTGTTTTGTTTTTTTGTTTTTTTTTTGGACAGCTTTGCAGAAGGCAAAACTGACTGATTGATACCAATACGAGGTACTACAGTAGCAACAATACCAGTGTTATCTCAAAATAGAAATGAATATGTGTCCGTGAAACAAACTCAGCTGACAGCATGTGTGGGACTCTGGGCTGCAGATTGGATTTTAACTCATCTTAACTCTCTCGTGAAATGAAACAATGCATGTGTATGTGTGTACTCTCGATGTTAGTCTCCTATATTATTAGTCAACCAGCTCACATTGTGCCTTCCAGTGTGGTCCACAAATCAGATTTTGCAAAAATGAAGCATGTAAAATGCAGCTGCTGTTTTGGTGGCTGTTTGAAGTGGAGGGCGATCCCTCTTCATATTGCTCATACCTAGACACCATTAGGGGTTGCTGAGCTGTCTCTCTGTGCGCTGATTAGTATTCATTTTAAAAACCACCGGAGCTCTGCTCTCCTTACAGCATATCAATAACCCAGGCCAGTTAACTTGCCAGCAGTATTGTTGGGAGCGGCACATTTTTCATAAAGTTTTCGGCATTTATCTGCCATTGTGGGGATTAGATTGTCTATTCCCAGTGGCAGAAATGTGAGCTCCTGTGCAGGGGTGGGTTTAGAAACTTTTGAATGGGGTTGGACTGGGGCATAATTTTTATTCATTTTACAAACGAGTAAAAATGATTGTATGTAAAGCCCAGGTTCTTGCCAATTATAAACTGTACATTATTAATAGTTACATGGTTTCTTCATTGCAATGAATACATACCAAATAAACAACTTTAAATATTCTAATATAAAATTATATCAATTAATATTTGCCATTCTTTGGGTTTATTTTGGATCTCTTTGTAGTTGTTGACCATTCTTTGTGGTCATTTTGCATCTTTTTGTAGTTGTTTGATTTACTTTGTAACAAGAAATGTCAACAGTCACCTAATAAGGAGGCTCTGGCTCTGTGACCAGTAGGCTCCATCCATTAGACTAATAACTAAACTACCAATCACCTTCTGACTGTGGCCCCTCCCCTGCTATGTATGTAATGGTACAGAAGCAGACCTATGTGGCTGTGTAGCTAGAGTTAAAGACACTCATTTCTTTCAACCATCTATATATTGTATTTTGAATGAGAGTTTTCCATAGTGCTGATAATTCCTACATTAGGAATGGGCTGTTTTGTTCATCCCAGTTACATTTTCCTAGACAAAATCAGTAATTGGCATCAATGTAACTACTTTGGATTTAAAATTGAATTTATACTGTATAGTCTGTTTCACAGCTTTGTGGCATCAGAATTTCTTCCTGACTGTACTTGTGCCATACTTGCTATGTTGACATTCCAAAATACAAATGAGCCCATAAAGACCAAAGCACTAATACTTTCAGGGTTAGAGGTTCTACTGTCCAAAGAAATGCACTAGCACTGCCAGCTCTAAGACATGCTGCTGGAATCAGATCAAGCCTGTAGCTTCTTTCTCTGCCAGTAGAAATACAGATAGAAATACAAATGCAGTGGGCCTCCGGTGGGTTATTTCTCAAGTTGTTGCAAATAGTCTCTCTTAAGTAGAGAAATCTGCACTGTGGACAATTAGGTTACCATACAAAAGTACTATTATAGTAGAATATAAAATAAAGCCTATTGTTGTCTTATAAGCGCGTCTGTCAGAGGAAATTTGTGAAGGAGATGTGTCTCTGCAGTTGTGGCTGTGTTACAGTTGGATGATTGTCTTTATAAATATGCAAATAGGAATCTATTCCCTATGCTGTAATTGTGAGTACACTGCATGTTCCTCCCAATTAAATGAACAAGTGAAGATGTCGTCCTCCATTAATGATGCAGACATCCTTTTGGAAAATTGTGTCAAATGTGTCATCACTTCATATTTCAACAAAATCTTGGAGCTGGTGTGTATTTATTTGGACATTCAAGGTCTGTCTGACCCTAACCCTTCAATTTTAATTAAATTCAGTTTACCTCGAGAAAACTAAATGTATTCCTCCAAGTTTTATGAAATTAAGACAAATGTTTCTAAGTAAGAGCCTTTAACAGTTAATTAACAGTGTTAGTTACCAGTGGCTCTGTAGCTGAAGTACCACTCTCTAGAGGTCCTCCCGTACCTGCCATCATTTATTTTTTTATCAATCTGCAACTGTATTCTTTATACCTCTGAAAGAAAAAACCTCTGAGTTTTTAAAAACATGTTTTATTTTTTCTCCTTTGCTTCTCTCTCCTTCCACCATCCTACCCCCATCCCTGCCCTCTCCCCTCTTGCATCTCTCTGCTCCCTGCCTGGCCTGCCCCGACATAGCCCCATTGCTCTGCGGCCTCTCTTTTGTATCTCCTGCCGGCTACAGCTTTGTACCTCCTTCCTCTGCTCCCTTCTGGTCAGGTACAGGTATCACTTCTCTCTCGGTCTGTCTCTCTAACACTCGATTTCTCTCTCTCCTTTCATGTTGAAAGCTGCTTAGCATGCTGGCTGTAGCTCAGTGCATTCACATCATCACCTGAATCTCTGCCTTTACATTCACCATCTTGCTTCCCATTGCAACATTTCACCTCTTCCATAGTTGTGTGCACATACACGTCATCCTGTGTTGAGAATAGGGCCTGTTTGTTCTAGTAGTTTTAGTAATAGCATGTATCTACTCTATGTGTGTGTGCGTGTCTGTCTTTGCATGGAGATACCAGTGTGTGAGGCAGCAACTGTTAAGAAAAGAGTGGTGTTTGAGGTGTTTTCAGAGGCGTATGTGCCTTAGTTTAGTGTGTGTTTGCTTGTGTGCGTCTGTCCGTCAAGGAAAGGGTGGAGGTGTCCAAATTCACAAAGCTCCTCTATATTAGATATTCTATCCCCACGGCCAGGTTGTAGAGGTCTGACATTCCATTTCCACCTGTCAGCTTAGCCCAGTCCGACCCACCAGTCAGTGTCTGTAGAAGGTAGAAAGTCGGCAGGGTGGGATGGAGCAGTGGTAACTAGCTAACCTTCTCCACAGCTGTCTCTCATACTACTGTCTCCTCGACAGGATGTGTAGTCGCACACACACGCGGCTGTCAAAACACTCCAGCTGGACTTTCTCAGCTAAAGTGATGCACTGCATAAGTACAAGGACTTGTAGGTCAATAGGCAATGTAAAAAAGAAAAAATCAAAAATCAAACGCACTGGTAGTATAGACAAACTTACATAGAGTCATCAGTATGTCAGTTAAGTTAACTCTGCAAAAGTAACACCTGGCAGTTACTGGGTGTAAGCATTTAGCAAACCATTAGCTAATCTCTACATAAGAAGTAGTTTATGTAGTGCAACCTGTTTAGATTTAGATGTGTAAATCTCTTCTATGGTAAACATTTAAGTTATATCTACAGCATGCTAATGGCAAAAATCACTACCAATAATTATAATCATAATAATAATAATAATAATAGTAAATACAAATGTGCACATGTTCTTACATTTCATGAGAATAAAAGAAAAGGGACAGGGGAAAGATTTTGAGACCCAGGTTTTTCTGGCTGTGTGAAAAAAAAATCACCCACTTCCATCTGTGTGTGTGTGTGTGTGTGTGTGTGTGTGTGTGTGTGTGTGTGTGTGTGTGTGTGTGTGTGTGTGTGTGTGTGTGTGTGTGTGTGTGTGTGTGTGTGTGTGTGTGTGTGTGTGTGTGCATGTGTGTATGTGTTGACAATACTGAGGTTTTTAAATGTTTTTTTTAACCCATCTTGTTGAGCCTTGGATGAACTAAATTTAATATATTTTTAACACCCGCATCTCTTTCTCTCTCCTTCTAGTGTTAACTCCGAAAGTGATCGGTGTGGCGATAGCGCGGTACGACTTCAGCTCACGTGACACCCGAGAGCTCTCGCTGCAGGAGGGTGAAGTGGTGAAGATCTACACAAAGTCAGGAGCCAACGGCTGGTGGAGGGGCGAGGTTAACGGCAGGGTAAGTGGCAGCCTTAAGATGCTAATAAAACACAGCCTGCCATCACCAAATCCAAATAGAGAAAATAATCTTTTCTGAGGGCTGGTATTGGCTTCCAGGTTATCGAATTTCTTAAAAAGTCTGCACCCTTTTTCATTCATTTTTGTTCATTTACTAATATTTAATAGAGAAAGTAAAGTTTCAGAACTTCCATTAGCTGTGTTTACTTAGAAACCAGTTTTGTTTCTTCATTCTGGCTGTTAAATTCTTAAATCCAATTTTAGCTAGTGCTGAAAATTGGCTTTTTGAACAAGAAAGATTTGGCAAATATTCTTGTCTACAGGTACCTGGAAGGGACTATTCAGATTGAGTCTGTTTCATCTTGAGTCAGTCATGTACACCTTTCCATCGTTTCTGTTTCACCACTTGGAAGAGCTCATTTGCCGCGCTTCTATATCTTAAATGCATAAATGTTCCCATCCACTACCGAGAGAGCTTTATGATCAGGCATGCAGCGCTGAGAGAATCATGGTTCTAAATGCAGGGAAATATATGTATTGACTCCCACTCACATGCACTGCATTTAAGCTTTGCGAAGAATGTTAGACTGAGTGACAAATTCAGCCTGTGTGTGCGTGTGTGCGCTGCAGCCATCAGTAATGTGTCTGTGCTGTGAGTGTGTTTTGTGAACAGCTGTTGTAAATGAGGAAGTGTTTCTCTTTTACTCTTTTACGCCTGATGTTTGTGTGTTAATGCCGCTCTGGTGAAAACTAAACACTGTATATAGAGTCTGTAGAGAGCTGTTAGACTCTCTTTAGAGCCTTCAACCAGTAACAACAAATCGGTGCTGCTGGCTGGAAAAGAGCTGGCTGAATCAGTCAATTGAGAGACACTCTACCACTATAACCTTTCAGTTAACAGTTCAATGTAATATCAGGTTCTTCTTCTCTACTTTAAGATGAAAAGTGGTCAAAAGAAAAGATACTGGTGCAAGATATCACCTATCCAAAAGAAACTACATTACTGCAAACATATTCCAATTTCAGAGTGTTTTATGTATTAATTAAGTTTCCTAGATGATTTTTGGTTTTTAATTTAATTTTTTGAAGTTAAAATTTAGCTATCCAGCAGTTAAAACTATTCCAATCATATAAAATAACTGCCAGTATGCTTGTCGTCATTAAAAACTGGAATGACTAAACATTTTGTGTAACATTTAATCTGTTTTATTTAATCCGCTTTGGGATATGTGAGAGATGCAAATGGGTAAGAAAAATACTTGAATATAGTTGACCTTGAGTTTAAAATATGAATGTAGTTATGTGTTCCCCTAAAATTGTAAAATTTAGTGTTAAAAGTAGCTATTGGTGATCAACATTTTATTTGCAAAGCCATGTATTAAAAAACAGTCTCTCAGGAAGTAGCAAAGTTGCGACTGCAACAATAAATGCAATATCATAGTAGTCCCCTGTGCAAAACGTTGACCCATGTGTCACCAAACTGCTAAAGTTTTTTATTGAATTGTACCAACAACAAAAAATGGCAACTATTTTTGAAATTTTCACTTTCTTCCACAATTTCATTGCAAAAATGCCTAAAAACATTGCAACATTCATAGAAACATTCACAGAAGAGCTGCCATGAAATCAGGGATTTAGGCTGTAACAATCCCAAAAAAGCCTGTGAAATCCTGGAGGGACTGATGTAATAATTTAAACAAACATAAGCTATAAATTGACTTCTGCATAAATAAAATGGCTAAATTGTGTTTTAGTTGCACCATTGTGATGCCTTTAGTATTGCCAACAGTAGCATGGTAGCATGTAAAATATACATCTTTTATTTTTCTAATGAGAAAATCTCACACACACACACACACACACACACACACACACACACACACACACACACACACACACACACACACACACACACACACACACACACACACACACACACACACACCCCTTCACGTGGGCTGCGAGAGACATTCTGGTAGATGTAGGAAAACCCCCTCCGAAAGAAAAAAAACAAAGGGATGGGATGTGCACAATAAACTACAACTGATGCCTGTCTGTCAGTCAACTCCTGTGTGATTATTTATTCCCCTTTCTCCCTCCTCAGGTCGGCTGGTTCCCATCCACGTACGTAGAGGAGGGTGAGGAGTGAAAGGTCCAACATGGGAAGAAGAGCAAGATAAAAGGAAGACCGGCAGCAGTGGAGTAAGCAAACTGAGAACGCAACAGTAACAGACACTGAGCTTCTGCAGCGCTGCTTGCTCCAGTGTTACTTTTCAGAGCAAATCAGACAGCTTCACTCTCCTCGATGGAGTCCTGTTGCCTACGACCATCCCAGAGGCCTTTGGGAGAGAAGAGGGCTACAGTACATTGCAGATGCAAAGATGGCCCCATCATTTCTGGTTGACTCTGTGTGGTTAAGTGACTCCACCAACTAGCAGCTTGCCTGTCAGCGGGGCACGAGCCCTCGCCAGACACTCCCTTCTCCCTCCCTAACTTCGTCCATCCATCCATGATTCACCCTTCGCTCACTTCCTCTCTCCGCCCCAGCCAGCCGCAGCCCCCCAACTCCCACCTGTTTCTGCTTGCCAAGTCAGCCGTCGCCAATCTGTCAAAAGTTGATACTCAAATGCCACTCTTCCATTCATGCGTTCATCCATCCATCCGTCCATCCATCCAAGCATCCATCCTCAACCAACCCCTGCGGGAATAGAGTCATCTGAGCTGGAAAAGACCCACACTGTAAAGTTTTTCCTTTCCTTTCATCCCCTTCTGACTCAAAAGGGATTTCAGTCAGTTTTGACCTTGCCTGTGTGTTTCTTCCACTAATGCAGGTGGTTATTGATGACTTGATGACCCAGATTCACACACACACACACACGCACGCACGCACATCACCCACCTCTCTTCCCCTTCAGATTATGATCACACACACACACACACACACACTCTTACAGGAGATGTAAGAGAGGGATGGCGTCGGATAGCATCGCTGCACAGTGCCAGCAATTGATCGCTGTTGTTCCTATTTTCCTCCCACCTCCTACATTCTTTATCTCCACCCCGGCCTCTCATGTTTTTTTAGTTGTCTTGGCCGTTAGCGATCCTGTGCTCTTATCAGTGTCAGCTCTGTCGACAGGAGCACATTCGCCAAGGGTTTATCTTATTGGCGGCATTAGCGGCTTGTCGGCGAACAAGCCACACTGCCAAGAAGCTACCTGTACCCTAACATAATGAGACACAAACTCACTCTCTCACAGTCTCACTCTTTGCTTTTATTCAGCACGTCCTGAAATTCTTTTTCAGTTTCCTCAGCTACACATATGATGCAGTTTGATTGATTGCATCTTGCAAAATTGAGCAATGGGATGCCATCTACCCAGATGTGTACTTGTGCAACATTTTCACCAGATGATGCATCAAAATGTTTTATCATCTTCCTTGGTGTAAGTGTCTTCCAGTATAACTGCTATTTTTGAGATTTTTCCACTCAAGAATACAGTTTTTGCAGAAACACTGAACAATGTGGCATATTTGTTTTGGCAAGAAAAACATCAAATAATAAAAAAAAATTTAGGTATGTATTAACACATCAATCCAAAAGTACTGATATCAGCTTTCAGAAACCTTTTCCCACTGCTTATACCTTCCTGCTAACTGTCCTCCCCCTCACCCCCCCTCCTTTTCTGTGTTCCACGCTCACCCCCTGTATACATTATGCACACTGTCTCGTTAATCCACAGTGAAAGAGGATTTTCCCACATTTGAGGGAATAAATACCTTTACGCCAAAACAAGCTGCACAACATACTCCACTATATAGTCACAGACAGAATAAGACTGCAGTGTACACAAATCCAAAGTAGTGATCAAGTTACATCTGGAGGTGAGGCCAAAACCTCTCCAGCAGTTGGCTTTGTGCAGCAACGTTTTAATCTCAGCCAGGATGTTGATTCTCTTGTGCTGTAAAACAAACTACAAACTGTACTTGTTTGTTGAAAATATGTACATATTGCCAGTTTTATTTAATTCATGGTTGGTGATTTCTGTTCACACAGTGGGCATACGGAAGGCAAACTCACTGGTCTTATCAATTGTCCAGTCACACAGCTATCCAAGTGTCATTCATGCATTGCTATAAGGAACTTTACTTTGAACTAGTCCTTTAATATCTTCAGTTTGAAGTTGTTCTTTGGCTATATTTCTTATGTTCCTCCTCACTCCTCAAATACAGACTTTCACACACTTACACACACCTACGCATGACATTTTAAAAACCATCCATCTCTTTTCTGTTAAAGGAAACTATTTATGTAACATGTACATAAAATACAATATATGTCACTGAAACACACATTGGTGAGAGGCAAGATTCTCTAGATTGCAATTTAGGCGATGAACACGTTGTAATATTGAATCAGACATTAAAAAAGTCAGAACTTTCAGAGCGGATATAAAGTTTAACCACTTGGTAAGATCAAGAAAGGTGTCATGTGGCTAACTAGTGGTAAAAGCCCTGAGAGCACTGCTTCCATTCAGAGCCATCGCCATCCCCGTCACGCCTTCATTGTGTCGATGCCAGTGGGTATTGTGTCAGAAATCTATTTTGTGAATCTAAGTAAGAATTTATTGTAAAGATATGCTTTTATGTGTGCTTAATGGAGCCATTATGTTTGAAAATCACTCACAGTCCCCTGCCAGCCTTGCCACTCCACGCTATTATGATATGTATGACAATTTTTTTTTTTATCAGTCATATTGTTTAACTACTGCACTGAAGAAATGTGTCCAAAAGGGTCATATTAATGCATTGTTGCATGACATCTCCCTTTTTCCAGTTCTTGTATTATCAACAGTGTCATTAAGTGACCACTAGATGGAAGCATCCTAAACACATCTCTTCCTCCCCCAGCAGTCACCTTCAACTTGCTAAAGTTTGGAGATGACATCATCTGATTAGGCGGTGAACAATATTTAAGGGAGCAATTAACACCAGCCTCAGACTACTGCTGTGAGGGAGAGGGAAATAGGACAAAACCAAATCAAAAATACACAAAATTTAGTGAACATGCAGGTAGACTAGAAAACATGCGTTTCTATCAGCTGTTATCAAATTCCCAGACTCTTTTAAATGTATTGATATTCCAGGAACTTCATATCCAGTAGAGATGTTTCTCCTCCCCGCCTGCTTCCTGAAACATCTGAAGTCTCTGAACAGCCAAACATTAAATTCATAACATCTTTAGGAAATCTTTGGTGCGGCAGCAGCACAAATGCGATCCAGCACCAGCCTCTCTCCCGTCTCGGGAGAAGTGAGGAAGGCAGAGTAGGCTTCTCTAATCGCAGACTCCGGTAATCCACTCCCGCACTCCTCCTCCGCCCAGATGAACTCTGACAGCGGGGCCATTTACAACTGCAGGCCCTTCCTCCCCTTCTGAGTGCGCTCCCAGATTTTTTGTGCGCGGGAGGGACGGAAAGAAGGCTCAAGGGTATCTGTGATCTAATCATTACACCATCTCCTCACCTCAGCGACCCTGCTGCATCCATCTCTCTGTCGGCTCCCCTCTTTCTCGCTCTACCTCACCTTGTCACTTCCCGTCTCTCTCTCTCTCTCTCTCTCTCTCTCTCTCTCTCTCTCTCTCTCTCTCCCCATCTATCTTTCATCCAATCTCTGTATTCTCGCTTTCTCTCTGTATTCTGTCCCTCACCCCGATGCTCTGTAGGCTGTAACTGGTGTATGTTGGCGGGAGGAGAATGGAAGATTCAGTATTATCAGGAGAGGAAGGAGAGAGGCGTCTCACTCTCTATAAACAACCCCAGCAAAATGAGGACTAGTTTAATTTTACCACAAATTAATTGACTGGGAGAAATGATGCCAATTAGAGAATGAATTGGAATTGGCTCCCACCACTGTCGTCTCCTCACATACAGTGTGTGCACAGATTATGTACTTATGCGTAGGCACACGCCATGTACGTGTGGAAATGCATTTTGACAGGATTCAGGACCGGGCAAGTCTTAGCCCAGCAGGGGTTACAGGATACAATCTCCTCAACCAACACACAAGGACACTTCTGTAGTAACCTGAACAGAAACATAATGGTCACCCATACATAAAGAAAATATGTCATATAATACTTCTTTCTTTCTGGGGCTGAAAATCCAATCTCGAGCCAAGAAATCATTGAACCCCCCCACCCTCTCTGTTTGTATTCACTGTGCTCATGTTTTGTTATCCCTATGAAGCCAAAGATGTATGCTGTACTTACTGTACTCTTGATGTTCTGTCTCATAACCACGGTACCCGACCGCTGTGGCCTAACTATAACTGTGCAATCTCGACTGTGTAGCATTACCATGTATTGTTGCTGTATTATACTGTAAAATATGTACATAGCACATAATAAAGATATACATTGCTTCTTCTATTGTGTTATTCTAGCAGATTGTCAACAGATGCAAACTGTGTTACACCCGGTGTTTAATTATTCAAATGTGCCACAACTTCCTGACTATTCACCAAAAAAAACCAATAGAAAAACACATATGTTTCTAGTGACACATTAACTTCAATCTGTCTGGTTTATATTTGGTGTACAGAGGTTAAGTGATGAGATGAATTTAATAACACTGATTATCTGGTTATCAGTAGGTGGGATACATTAGGCAGCAAGTGAACATTTTATCCTCAATGTTGATGTGTTAGAAGCAGGAAAAATGGGCATCCTGAAGATTTGAGCAACTTTGGCAAGGGCCAAGTCTCCAAAACTGCAGCTCTTGTGGGGTGTTCCCAGTCCGCAGTGGTCAGTATCTATCAAAAGTGGTCCAAGGAAGGAAAAGCGGTGAACCGGGTCATGGGCAGCCAAGGCTCATTGATGCACGTGGGGAGTTAAGGCTGGCCCGTGTGTGCACCAGGGTGCCCAGGTGGTCATCATGTTATGGCTGAACGGTGTATTTCACTACATGTCAGAAGCAAATATTGTATACAGATTACAGATTAAAGAGCCTCTTCAAAATCTGTTTTAAAATTCAAAAATACTCTGCTTTGAGAAATGATTAATTATTGTATTGATATGGTTTTTCCACAAAAAAAATTCAGGTACCTGGTAAAAAAAAAAATCATTAAAATTACATCATATCCTTCTCCCTCACTGAAAAAAACAACTTTTTGTTTGTTTCATTAGTTTAACTACGATGCACAAGATGTCTCCTACTTCTCTGAAAACTTCAGTGTGTGCGCACTGGAGGCTTCAAGTTTTCACATCAAACTAGTGGAAGTTGCATATTGGACCATTTAGCTTTCAAACTAAAACCCTGCTCGTACTGTGCGCACATGTCTTAAACAGAGATTTAAGGTGAGCACAGAGAAACTTCAGCAGATGAATGTGCAAACAGCCTTCTAGTGTCAAACTCCGCACACACATTATTCTGCACAGTGAAGCTCAAACATCCAAGGGAAGAAACAATGAGCAAAACCCATTTTCCCCCACATTTTACATACAAACACGACTTACCTTCAAACATAAATGCTTCGTACACATTAAAGCACCTGTAATAATCATCTAGTAAAATAATATTATAACTCTGACATGGACCAATCTGCTGCCTAATGAGTTTTGAATAAGATTGTTTATTGTTTTATGGTGCTGCTATTTTAATTGTAAAGGACCTGAATACTTCTTCTACCACAACAAACCTGACAGCAACATAAAACATATTTTTTAAAGCAAATGAGATAAACCATGCAACCAGCTTAAAATTGAGTTTTACTTACTAAGATGTGCCCATGTAACGTTATACATTTCATGCTTTAGGATTTGGAATGATAATTCAATCAGTGGACAAATACCATAAGCAACTGCAGAAGGATATTGTGTGATGAATCACTTGGCAAGTAGTTTTGAGTTACTGAGTATTTTAAAGTAACATATTCAAATGAATAAACTCTTCAATTGGTGACGATACTGCCACTTAACAGACATTTTCAAACTTGAAAGCAATAATTACAATCTTGAAATGATTAATTATTAATGTTAAAGTCTTCACTGTTCAAACAGCGAAGTAGCTACAGGAGCACACTTCTTATAGTTGCCAAGTCTTTCCAGGAAATCAAAAAGAAATAAGAGTGTAATTTGGCTTTTATCATGGTCAGTCTCATCTCTGTTAGCTCAGCTTGCCCAGAAGTGACTTTATGGCTAAAATTAGGACTTGGTCCTCAAAGTATAGTAGTGCTCATTAAATGGCTGCCGTGGTGTTACTGTTGTGTTTTGTTGCTGTTCCCTCCACAGGACTTAAATAACCTGCAGCCAGTGGGGTGCTGTTTCTCACTAGCTTATTGGCTAATAGGTGTGAATGAATGTGGGGATAACGGTGGGTCTTGTTGCAGTTATCATGCTGATAATAACGAACCAAGTTAACCAAACTTCTAAATATAGCGGGTTAAAATGAATGCAGAAAAGGTGAACGCTAACAGTACTGTGGGTGTTGGAAACCATGCAGAGAACAGTTGTACAAGTGTGTACAAGACACATACCATATGTTGATGCTTAATGTAGCTTCTTCGTAAAAAATCGTGCATGTGCCGGTCTTGTGTGTCTGTGCGTGTTTGTGTGTGTGTGTGCACTGGTGTGTGGGTGGTGGTCTCCTCGGCCATCTGGTGCCCGGTTACCTGCCGTTGCTAAAGCTAGACTGAGGCTCGGACACCGAAAGGATGAGTGGTGTGGGCTGCTGCTGGCGCTGCAGGGGTGGAGAGAGACGTTGTACTAAATACCCACCAGGCGGGCTTCGCCTTGGCCGGGCCAGTCTGGATCCACCACCAGTCCACTTCCAGCTGAGGTTGGACCACCAGTGTGACAGATGGCCGGCAAGAGGGTGACATCAGCCTTCTTCACAGCACTGAAAGAATGTTGGGGCCCAACTTTCTGGACTGCTGCAGTCCTCTCTGATATGAAATGGATTTTGAAGATGAGCAAAGATTTTCACTGAGTTCTGTGTTGTTGAGACTGATGGAATGAGAAGCTCTTGTCACTGATAACATGAGAGCAGGGGCGGCTGATATTGATGTTATAGTCAGGTTGTTCAATTCAGAGAGTGCCAGGCACAGTCTTCACTGTGGCCCCACACGCCAAAGCACATACTTCAACTGTGCCAGTGTAATAGATTCTGATGTAGAGGACTGAACAAATGTCACTAAGAAGTACAATATGCAGATATGCCTGCCCACAAGCTGGGTAGACATTGTGCTAAAATAACTTGATGTTTCATTGTGTGCAGAGTTTGAGCCGTCCTTAACTGTATATTTATGTATCTGTTTCATTTTATTGTGAAACTTCACAAGTTATGCTGTCAGAAGTCAAACTAAAGCAAAGGTGTTTGCACTGAAATGGTGTGAAAACACAGCTTGTAAATATGGCACATGACTTAAAACTCTTGGATATTTCCTTCAACGTTTTAACGAGGACGAGCTTTGTAAATGAATCTAATACTTGTGGTACCTCATTGACAGCCATCAGTCCTGATATAGTTAAGTGTCAAGAACATCAAAAACACCAGCGAGGAGCACTGAAACGAAATGACCCACTCAGCTGACTGAACTTCTCTTGTTTCAATTTAGCACTGCAGTCATTTGTCTACTTTTCCCTCCATCTCCCTTTCCAAACCCCTGAATCTCATATAACCTGCCATGTTTTGACTTCTTCGACTGCACTCCATATATGCCAGTCTATTTCTCACTCTGTCTAGTTTGTGCTTTCTCTAGGTTTATTGCTGTCTTTTGGGGCCATGAGGGAGCCATCATCATTGCCAGACGGTATGGCTGCTGTGTGTAAATATCAAGCACTCTTTTCCCTCCTGTTTTCCTGGAGACTATCAGCACTGCATAAACACAGAGGTGCTGTCTACGGAACACACTCAGACAGCTCATCACCATAACACACACACACACACACACACACACACACACACACACACACACACACACACACACACACACTCTCCTGTATTAGCTGTTATTGGCATCTTTCTTTACAGTTTGTTGCTACATTATTCTAGCCTTCGGTTTATTCTCATGCATAGTTATGTATTGAGCTTTGATTCAAGAGAACTTATGTCCTCTGTAGAAATGTGAGAAATGCCAAGTCATGTCAACATGCACAGAAGCAGAAGCGTGTGCAAGGTGATTGCATTTATTCCAACTGAAATGAAGGCATATTCTAGTGCACTTTTTTAGAGCTGCAGTTGCAGCCTTTTTCTTCACATATTCACATATACAAACAAACACACGCTGTAAGCAAGCTGTACAGAATGTGTGTGTGTGTAGGGCACACACACACACACACTGGTAACAGATGGCGGCACAAACATTGCCTGCAATAATAATCAGCATTATAAAACAGTTAAAAATGAATCCTTTAATTTGCTGAAAGGCTTCCACCAAGTTGTCTTTAGCCACACACACTGAACACATTCTGCTCCTACTTTCTCTCGAGAGGGTACATAAAGAACCAGTCCTTCCTCCAAGGTCAACAGGTACCAGCGGCGAACTTGCTCCACAGCTGAAGTGAATATCAGTCTAAATGCACTAAAATAAACAACAGACTTGATAAAAGCATCTTTAACAGGAGTCACATGTATAGTTGATACTTGCAGCAGTTATATTAAGCTTGTGTCTGCGTTCAGTCTGTAAATAAATACTTGGGTGTGATGACACCCAGTGTCCCACACTCTTTTTCTTGGTGCATGATTTGAGATTCTTTGAGAGAGAGAGAGAGAGAGAGAGAGAGAGAGAGAGAGAGAGAGAGAGAGAGAGAGAGAGAGAGAGAGAGAGAGAGAGAGAGAGAGAGAGAGAGAGAGAGAGAGAGAGAGAGATTCATTTATGGCTGGCTGCATATTGCTGTATCCATTAAATATGTGTATATTCATCAGTTAGCTCTCTATGTATTGTAGTAGTTAGAGTTGTCAGTGGTGGAGTCTGCCATTCCTGCACAGGATTCAAATGGTGTGCACAAATTCAGGCCCAGAACATTTGCACCTTGCACATAATTTTTGCACATGCCCATATGTCATGTGATGAGACAACCCGGAAAAGCAGGACAGCTGGCCCCAAGAATATTGAAGAGGCACATGTGTGGCAGCACAAGCTGCAGCAATTTACAGAAAAGACAACATTTTCACAAAACCATCTAAAAAGGTATCCTGTCGCCAGGCATATTTATAGCAACTGAGTTTGCAATACAAATATAAATACCCAGGACATGGGTATATCTGAGTATAGTTGTTTGTACAGACAATAACCAAACCTTCTGCATCCTTGTTTCAGATGAATTGTGTTGATTCATGTTCTTTTTTATTCATGAATTTGAACTTTTCTAATTTCAGTTAGAGGTCCTAGTTTGACCTTAACAGCTAATGCTGTTTAACTGAAGCTT